TGTACTTGAAAAACTTGTCACATTATATTACTAGTTTGGTAAAGTAACATTACTAATTCCTGGTAATAGGCAAATTGACAAAAAGTGAATAATCATAATCTTACAAATTTTGACTTTATATAATAAGTTATTGTTCAAGTACAAATAAGTAGATTATTGCGGAATTTATGGGTGGACCTCTACGGGACGAGCGCAGCGAATTCCGCAGCCATCTACTCACTAATATAGGTACTGTTGATCTGTTCAAATAAGACACTCACCTGAAACGTGTACTTTTTAAACTAATGAGAATAACTTACATTCGAGTGAGTCAGGTTAGTATCGTAATTATACAACATATTGATGAATAGATAGAATAGACCCATAAGTTCCGCAACAATCCACTCGTTTGTACTTGAATAACTTGTCACATTATATTACTAGTTTGGTGAAGTAACATTACTAATTCCTGTTAATAGGAAAATTGACAAAAAGTGAATAATCATAATCTTACAAATTTTGACTTTATATAATAAGTTATTGTTCAAGTACAAATAAGTGGAGTATTGCGGAATTTATAGGTAGACCTCTGCGGGACGAGCGCAGCGAGTTCCGCAGCCATCTACTCACTAATATACTGTTGAACTGCTCAAATAAGACACCTGAAACGTGTACTTTTTAAACTAATGAGAATAACTCACATTCGAGTGAGTCAGGTTAGTATCGTAATTACACAACATATTGATGAATAGATGGCTGCGGAACTCGCTGCGCTCGTCCCGCAGAGGTCCACCCATAAGTTCCGCAACAATCCACTCGTTTATACTTGAATACCTTGTCACATTATATTACTAGTTTGATAAAGTAACATTACTAATTCCTGTTAATAGGCAAATTGACAAAAAGTGAATAATCATAATCTTACAAATTTTGACTTTATATAATAAGTTATTGTTCAAGTACAAATAAGTGGATTATTGCGGAATTTATAGGTAGACCTCTGCGGGACGAGCGCAGCGAGTTCCGCAGCCATCTACTCACTAATATACTGTTGAACTGTTCAAGTAAGACCCTCACCTAAAACGTGTACTTTTCAAACTAATGAGAATAACTCACATTCGAGTGAGTCAGGTTAGTAACCTAATTATACAACATATTGATGAATAGATAGAATAGACCCATAAGTTCCGCAACAATCCACTCGTTTATACTTGAATACCTTGTCACATTATATTACTAGTTTGATAAAGTAACATTACTAATTCCTGTTAATAGGAAAATTGACAAAAAGTGAATAATCATAATCTTACAAATTTTGACTTTATATAATAAGTTATTGTTCAAGTACAAATAAGTGGAGTATTGCGGAATTTATAGGTAGACCTCTGCGGGACGAGCGCAGCGAGTTCCGCAGCCATCTACTCACTAATATAGGTACTGTTGATCTGTTCAAATAAGACACTCACCTGAAACGTGTACTTTTTAAACTAATGAGAATAACTCACATTCGAGTGAGTCAGGTTAGTATCGTAATTACACAACATATTGATGAATAGATGGCTGCGGAACTCGCTGCGCTCGTCCCGCAGAGGTCCACCCATAAATTCCGCAACAATCCACTCGTTTGTACTTGAATAACTTGTCACTTATATTACTGGTTTGGTGAAGTAACATTACTAATTCCTGTTAATAGGCAAATTAACAAAAAGTGGATAATCTTACAAATTCTGACTTTATATAATAAGTTATTGTTTTGGGTGTTTTTTTATATATTGACACCCCACCTACAGCCTTCACCTTTACAAGTAGATGAAAGGAGTAAATACAAAAGTTGTACAGTATTGGCTGAATTTTTAGAATCCATGGTCAGAAACAAAAATTTAATGTTAGAAATGTGAAATGTTGTATGCTTTCAGCTTTTTTCAAATGGGATGCCCTATATTTGATTCTATATTCTTGAAGAGCACGCAATTTCCCGATTCCAAAATTATATGGTTTGCCTGTATTTGGTTGAGCCGTCTCCAACATATTTGGTTCTAAAAATTTTTAAAATACTATCAGAGAAACCAAGTACCTCAAATTTTACCTAATAGCTTTCACCTGTACAGGTAGAATGGGTTCAAAAAATCAGTAGTAGAATAGTATTTTTACAATTTTTGTGCTCTTCAGGAATATAGAATGAAATATAGGGCGTCCCATTTGAAAAAAGCTGGAAGCTTGCAAAATATCACATTTGTGACATTCAAATTTTGTTTCTGACCATGGTTTCTAAAAATTGAGCCAAAACACCCTGTATATCCTAAAAATTTGGTTAATACGGTTTTGGGTCTTTACACTGGCTGGGTTAATCCAGAGCTCGTATAATTGCGACTTGGATAGTCGGGGTTCTACTGTATGTATGAATTTTTTGGCGAACTTTTTTTTTATAAATTACCTCGATGAGGCAAGAAGGTTCAATTGAAAAATTCAAATTAGAGGAAAATTCTTGCTTCAAGGCATTAACAACAATATGACTAGCGGCCCAAACCCAGTGTTTTCAGCAAGATTTACTAGAATTTAACATCTAAATTTTGGAATTTTAATATTGCAGGTTTTAATATCTGAACTTTCTAAACTTCTAATAAGGATTCGAAAATATATTTTTCTGAAAAATATCTCTTTAAGCAGATTAAATCTGGGAATGTCTTCTGTAACATAGTCTACTATATACATAGCCCATTCTTCAGTTCTTTGTTCTTTGGTCTATTGGGAGCCTTCTAGGCACATTACAGTATTATTTCTTGTTCCCAGAAGGATATTTGAAAACACAAGAAAAAGTTTCAGTGCAAATAATGCCATTTTACACAGTTAAAATGAAAAAGTAAAGAAAAACAAACACCTAGTGTAGATAATATTCTTGCAGTTACGCTTAAATGAGCTCTAGAATGCAAAAATTTCATCGCCTGGGAGCCACTCGGCGGCTACTTCCTATGTTATTTCGTCGCGACATTATATTACGGGGTAAAATGGTAATTTATTATCAAAATACCTTTTACACCATATCATTATTTATATTGATAAATCATTCATACATAGGCGGCAGAAGATATAATTTAAGAGCCTCATCGCAGAAATTCCTTTGAGTTTGTTGCTTTTACACATCTTCAGGTTTATAAACTCGATAACATTTTCCATGAAGAAAAAAAAAAGCAATCAGCTGTAATACGGTTTCCCAATTATTGACTTCTGATTATTTTTGCTAATTGAGCTTGCTTGAATGAAAGCCAATTATTGGAAAAAAGCTATTTTGAGAATGAATTAATTATTTACAACTCTATGACTGACCTTCCCTTGGCCTGGGAGGAAATTTTTACCTACTAAGTCGTTATATTTGAAAGTCGTGCCTAAATTTCAGTTCAAGGACAATATTATGACATTACAAATCCTGTGGAATTTTGGAATTATCCAACCTTAGGCTCGAGACGGCAATTAATTATAGAAAACAGCTGGTGTATCATGTTTTTAGCTCATACAGCCATATCTCTTGTAATTAGTCTTTTTCAATGCTTCCTTTTTCTTGGCAAAGGATTTCATCTGATGTGTTTATTTTAAGTTTGGAGTGTTTCTAATCAAATAATGATTCTCCACTCTCTACCCACCCAATTACCGTTACTCGTATATGTTCATACATAATACTCGCAATACATTAAATTAAAGCCCATTCAAGTCAAAAAATATGTGTGGGCGAGCTGGTTTGGGCGTCGAAACGGTATTCAAACTCAAAAATGCATAAGAAGATTTCATTGCATTCCTCGAGAATTAAAAATCCACTCGATAAACTAGATTTAATAGGCAGAGATCTTGATGATGATGACCGCCCCTCGTTTTGATTTAATTGAATTGATTCAATCTAATTCGTGGTTGATACTGCTGGGAAGCATTAAACATTTCCAAGTAATAATTTACAATTAAAGCTAGCTCAAGATTGATGTAGCCAACGATGTTTAACTGAAACAATTTGGTATATTCTGGCATTTTCAAACGAGTAAATTAATACAAGAACACGTTTCTTTGAAAGGAAATTTTTTTGACTGTTAGATCAAGTTGCCATCAAACGGTCAAGGAAGTTATTAATGCTCAGATTAACTTGATATTGAGTAGAAAAATAGTGCTAAACCCACTCACTGGATCATGACCCTGTTTATTGCATTCAGCTAACAAACACATACATGCACGTATTCATTTAACGATTTTAAAAATAGAAGAAACTATATTGTCTTTATCTGTGATGCGCCATCTGGAACAAGAAAAATGTCGTAAATACACCAAAGTTAATGCACTGGAAACACTCGATTTGGAAGCAATAAATTTGCCAGAAACTGGTTGTTGGAAGTTTCGTCTTTTGAGAATTTATTCATCCAAAAAAATCACGTTAAATTTACAGCAGCTACGTGTCGATAAAGGGCTAATCTACATCCTTCGATAAAACAAGCAATTAGTGTGCGTTTTGTTTATTAAACGATTTTACGTGGTCTGGGCAATTAATTCACGCCCTAAACTGATTTCAATAAATCAGTGAAGGGTATTTTGGAACAAATTCAATCCAAGACATGTTCCCACAAAACACGTAACATCCTGTCTGTGTAATTAAATATTTAAAATAAAAAGTCTGTGTCCTTATAGCAAGTGCCACGACCATTTAAAATAAATTAGATCGAGAGCCGCCTCTAATCGAATTACATTTTAAATGAAGTATCACTTAAGTACCAGTTAATGTAATTTGAAAAAAAAAATGAGCAACATTATTTTGTTGCATTGAACACAAGCAACAGAGTTCCATTATAAAAATAAAACAAAAATTTATAATTAAATTTCGTCTTAAAAGACCACCCGTAGATAGGGATTCATGATTCCTAGTTGTTAATCGATTTTCATTTAGAACAATGACAGTCATCATAAAATAGTATAATTTATGATCCAAGACATTTTACGATCTTTATACATTCTTGCAAAGACTCAATTTTTTTTCTACTTGTTTACAGCTGTTAGCGACATTTGTTCTTTTGCTCAGACAAAAGAGCACTATGCTGCCAAGCACCCCATGGACTCTAATCTTTTCGGAGTTGAAACAAGACCTGATGCTCTCAAGTAAGAATTTTGTCAGATATTTTTCAAACTATTTGAGATAGAGAGTCTTAGGACATTTTTAAAAAAATCTTATCTCTTGTATTTTTTTCTAGATCCCTCTATGAAGCTGCAACAAAAACCCCAGTTCACGCAATGCGACAGCTGGATAGATGGAGAAGAGACGGACACCGATCTTCACGATTTTTCGTTTGTACTCCCGTTTTGGGAGCCAAACGGCGAAGAATCAGAGGAAAAGTGGATATCGATATCGAAACCAGAATGGTAAAAACATTTTTCTTTTACTTATTAGGTCAAATAAAGTGAGTGACCTCTGTCAAAAGTTGTGCAAAAAAAGAACCCTCCACCAACCAATTTACAAAGGGAAGGAACGTGCCAACATATAAGAAGCCACTAAATCATTTTCCTTGGGAAAATCAGAGAAAAGGCCCCAAAATGAAAATAGATTGGCGGCCCGTCAGGTCGAAAATCCCTTTAAAAAGAACAAGGAAATGTGTTTTGTGTGGCGCCACAACTATTGGCAAGATTTCAATATTTATTTAATGAAATATGTAGTAGTTCTATTGGTTTAACCGAATTACAGTTAATGATGTCCAATTATCCAATTTTTACTTGCGGGCAACTAATAGTTAAGACATTAGATCTACCAGCATCATTATTATAGTCAGTCTTAATTGGATTACAACGTGAATTGCTAAAAATCTAGACGCAATAGATAACCATGGTTGAATGGTTGAGTTTTATAAACAACTTTTAGTTTCTTTCTACGGGCGTCGATGCATTACTGCAATATTACGACAACAAAAATTATCATTCAATAAAGACGCTACTGTTTATCTCTGGAATGACCTAAAAAGATAGTGCTATTCATTAATCATTGGTGGTATGCAAATAATTGGAATTTATTCTGGCATTTACTTTTTAAAAAAAGTGTGTTCCTCATTGCACTTGTAAAGTCAATGCTCTTGAACCTGTAGAGTTTAAGTTGGAATTATCTATTTTAAGCGAGAGCCTCTTTCATAAATAAACCTCTTCAAATAAACGCAAAGGGAAAAAGACAAAGTGAATCTCACTTAAATTACTTTAAATTACCAGCTGTCTGTTTACGTACAGCGGTGCAAACATACATGAGACAATCCTATATTTATTTTAGCCTGCTGCTATGGAAGATCTTCGTAGATGGACTTCGGATGAAGCTTTAGGTGACGTCACCGTAGGTACAACTTGTGCTAGTAGAATCGCTGCCACTTTGAGTGATGGAGAAGAAACTGATGGTACTTTAGCGTCAGATGATGAACTGGATCATAAACTACCATCACCTGAAGAACAGCTTCAAGTAGTAGCTTTAAGGTATACCTAACTATAATCATCTCCCATAAGTATATTAATGATTGAAAATAAATATAGATTCCCAGCTGAAATAGTGGCTGTGGATATATCCGGACGAAGTTTCGATCGGATGTCCAGCCAGAGACGATCGTTAATGACGGGAGAAATTACAAATAGAACAACAGATGGTGATACAATAAAGAGAAGAGGAAGAACGAGAAGACCCAGGAATAGGTAAGTTTTTACGCAATTGAATTTTTGCATAAGTTAATCGTTATTGTGATTATCAGAAGACGAAATACTTTAGCTGGTACTGATCAAAAAGAGATACAAGATGCATTGACAGCAGGGTGAGTTTTTATTTAATTCATTTTTATTTTCATATTGTTTATTACTAAAAAATGTATAGTGTGAATAATTCAAGCATGCATTTTAAGTGTTTTTTTGCTAATAAATAAATCATAATCATGTAAATATATTCATCAGTTGTAAATTACTCCAATATTCACACTATTAACATTAAAAACCACACACAAAACATAATATTCAACCATTCCTTTAGGGACAGTCAAACGTCGCCGGATAAATCCAATCAGGCGCCTCACACCACCTCAGCAACGGTGCCTAGAAGTAAAAGTAGCGACCTGTTGAGGTCGTGCAGCAAAAAAGAATCGCCCGAAATCAAAATATCCAGATTCAATAGCTTGAAACAGTGGGGCAAGCATCAATACGACAAATTCCGTAACAAAAGCAACGAAAATTCGATATCTTCAAACAGAAGTAAAGTGACATCATCCGAAGACGGTTTGGACGATTTTAATTTATACGAAACGGTGACAATGAAACGTAAAAGGGATTTGGATAAGGAACGAAAAACCCACGAGAGAAACTCGTCAATATCTAGCTCAGAAAAATCCTTGCCAGTTACGACAAATACCTTATTAGTTAAACTCAGAGATAGTTCCTCGCAACGACGTCAAAGACGACAAGGCAACAAAGAAGAACTCCATTCGTCTAGTGGTAATTGGAGCGCCAGCTCTGAGAGCGGAAGAGCATCGATTGGCTCAGAAATTACAGCTTCAACTACTCACCCCAAAAGTACCACATCAGCTGCTACAAGCAGTAACTCCTTAAATCACCCACCAAGCTCAGTGAACTCCAGAAGGCGTTTTAATTTTAACGCATCGACTTCAGGCAGTGTCACTAGCGAAGGAAGCACCTTAACTCCAGACATTATTCACGATTTACATGAAGATGGCGATTCGGTTTATTCATGTGACACCGAAGGCTATTACACATCTTTCCATATGGATAGTGGCCTTAAGACCTTGAAGGAAGAGGAATTACCTTCAACCCCCTTACAAAGTACTAGTGCTTTTTCAAACTCCGGCTCTAACAATACGGTGCTAAGTGCTGAAAACGAGTACGAATTATTTGGAAAAGGTTCTACTAGCACTACAACTAGTTCAGCGGGGACTGTTTGCACAACCCTAAGGGCGGCAGAGAGTAATAGAAGTTTGATTATCGGTCCTGCAGTGCCAGAACGTAAAAGCTCTTTGTCAAAACTATCAAATAAATCTAGTAAGAGTCCCGAAAGTTCTTTAGAACGCGACTATAATGACAAAACTGGCACAGTAAAACGCAGTCCCGCACTCAATAATTCAAAACCAACTGTTGTCGCTGTGATACATAAAAGCGCAGGAGATATTTCTCCTGATAGTGGCCATAACACATCTAGTTCACCAATAGAAAGTGTTTCCAGTCCTAATGGTGTTCGAAGTGGAAGTGATTTCGAGTTTTCAGAAAGTTCCGATATGGAAGGCCCTGAGAGAATTGAAAGAATCAGAGTAAAAACTACGATTAATTCCAGCAGGATACCGTCGATGTGCGTTATAACACCAACGCAAAGCGATGAGGAAGGTTCTACTAACTCATATAAACAACAAATTGAAGTGAATAATTTAAAAAATTGTATCCAAGACGATAAAAATGGCAACATGAGAATCATAAGTACAAACGTTAATGGCACCCAAAAACTAGCTTTAGTTAATCTCAACACACAATCGGGCTATGCTACGGTTGAAAGCATCGATGGGCAAATATCTGCGAAAACTATTAGAGCACCATCGCCTAGCGGAGGCACTGTAACAGTCAAACCAGAACCAGAAACTAATAAATCCCAGCCGCTAATTAAGTCTACATTATTGCCATTGAATAATATGTTGGGAAAATTGAAAAATTTCGCCACTAAACGTGATAGAAGCAAAAGTCCCGGCCAGAAACAACCAATTGTTGATTTAATGGGAGAATATGTTACTTTAGCCGATGTAAGAAATAACAATGAAACTTCTTACGTTAATGAAGTGATTAATAAAAACCTATCAACAGTTCTTAGTGGAAAAGATACTGAATACGTATCCCTCAATGAATTGCCTATTGTCGATAATAATAACGTTTTTCCAATTGACTCCTTGGAGCGAAAGCGTCAAGGGGCAAGAGTAATGCTCGACGCCGAAGGAAAAGTCGTCTACAGTTCCGATAGTCTCCGAAGACGCAAACCTCCGAGCTCTTTCGAACCAGGCCCATTTGTGAAACAGTCTCAAAGTCCATGTCCCAGTCCTCAATCACTCCGAACCCCAATGTCAGTCCGTCCAGTGACAAATAGTCAAGACCAAATGAAGCTCCACATACCACAAACCGAGTTTCATCGTCCGATGTCGCCTTCCTCAGGAAATAAAGTAATCATTAAAGCTTCCGGAAATCCTCCTGAGATTGTTCGTACACCGTCCGCAGTAGTACAACCGGCCAGTCCTAAAATGAGACCTTTAAGTCCTAAAGGGGCTTACGTTCACGTGCAAACACCATCAGGAGGTCCGTTGTCGCCGAAAGAATTTAGAGGTATGTTACCGAATAGAGTTAATATTGTAAATAGTTTAAGGAAGATCGCTTTGAAACAGCAACAAGTTATTGGGACTAAAACTAATAATTTAGGGGGTAAAGTGATTAAAAGACGCGAAAGCTATCGCTTAGCAAATACGGCCATAATAACACCAACAAAAATTATAAATTACGAAAAAACCAAAAGTACGTCAGACAGTGAAGAACAAGACAGTTTCGAACGAGAGCTCGAAGAAGAGTTGCTTCAACAAGAAATCAATTATCCGCCAACAGTGTCGCCCAAAGCTTGTCACAAACATTTGTATAGCAAGGCGCACGCCCAAAAAATGCTGTTGAGCTCACCAAAACCTGTTTCGATACCGCGCTGCAAGGACGAAACTCGTTTGAGGATTTTGAATGCTTCGGTAACCGATACCGAGATTTGGTGAGCGGATACGGTCCTGTTGTTAGCACGTGCAGCTGCTGAAATCATTGAATGAAATCAATAAAGTTAGACACCCAAAATTTATTAGTCAGGCGGTTGTGATTCTTTGGTACGTTGTACAAAACTAAGTACTTTTTTAGGTGTTAGTGCAAATTTTAACAGCCACTCAAAAAAATCCAAAATAAACTAAGTAATGGTTTTTACTATAGTTTATACGAAGTCAATAATCCGAATAGCATAAAAACTGAGTAGGCGACATCTTTTTATGAAATTAAGCATATGCGTGCAACAGCCTAGGAATTTCCAAGAACGAAGAATTCTAATTCCTGGGCTGTTGCACGCCTAAGTATGATTAATTTCGGATTGACTTCGTTTAAACTATCTATCATAGTTTTAAAAGTTTTCACAAAAATTTGGACAGGTTTCTCACCCCATCTCCTCTAGTACAATTCGCCTACAGGTAGTACAAATATTCGATGTAAAAAATCGATCTAGGAAGCGAAAAGCGGAGCGTCTTTTGATCTCTCTGCTCTGCCAAAAAAGCATCGAAACAAAAACATTCTCGTTCGGGGTTTTACACACATTTTGGTGGTTTTGGAAAATTGTTGGTGTTGGTTGGGGAAAATTTGGTTTTCATTCGAGGACCAAACACGAAATTACTAAATTAACACTCATGGGAAAATGAATGGTTTTTCAGACCAATAATTTAGGTACATACTCATTTGCTAGTGCAATATACCTACTATTTATGTGTTATTTAAATTATAATTAGGATTATTGAATGCTTTTTTTGTGACGTTTTTTATTAGACACTTTTTTTTATGTAAAATTATGTTTTTTATAAATTGATGTAATTTTTTTTTTAGTGTATAATATTATAATTATTAAAGCTATGTTCCAACTGAAATGAGAACCGTTCTAGAATGGTAATTGTTCAACTTATTGAAAAAAAAAATGGACAACTGGAAATTACTTCTACGGTTCTTGTGTCTGCTGAAACAGAGCTTATGTTTCGCATGTCTTGTTTTTTAAACAGAATTATAATTTATGCTTTTTTGTGTGTGTGTAATGTTTAGGGGCACCTTGCACAATCTTAAATTAGCTTTAAATTGTTTTGGCATGGTTTTTTTGTCATTTTATTTCAATGTATGTATATTTTTGATATATTTTTTTAAATATTATTTAATAAACAAATCTTTGAACTATCGCTCTCTTTTTATTAACTTTAACATGCTCTCACTCTGTGTGCTAACCAACACTTTATCCAACATGATTCCAGTGAAAAAAAATTATTGTAAAAAACTGCATGTAAACATGTTTATACTAACTTTTTGATTCAAAATCGATTTGCAACAAAACAATATTTAAATAAATAAAAAAGTCACTATCATTATCAGTTTGCACCTTATATGCACGCAACGTTTCGTCACATTTTCCACCCGCAGGGAGCACTTTTTTGGTAAGACTGCTATTCATTTTTTAGTGTTTTGCATGCGAAGAGGACAAAGTTATAGAGAAAAAGGTGAGCACGAATTAATTCCAGTTTTAGCATGATTGTGTTGCATGGTAAGTAGCTATTACAAAAATTACTTATTCTAATAAATTCTTCTTTTTCAGAAGGCGTTCCACCTCCATTATCACCTCAAAATCCGTCAGTATTAGATTCAATACCTCCCCAAGACGTCACCATGTACCACTACGCTGAAAATGAACCCTATTACTATCAAGAAGCTGCCTATTACCATCAAACTGGTGGCAATTTTTATTCAACCCTCCCAGCCAAAAAGAGCCAACAATATTTTGCTTACGAAACTCCTCCAGAAAGAAGCGTCACACCTGATATCACCAGAGGCTTAGATAGAGCCACATCTACTAGTACATTCAAACATGATCAATCTCTATTAAACATGGGCCATAAAATTGGCATTCCTGTAATGAACTATGCCAGTCCAAGATCTCAAAGTCCCTACGAGGATTCTTTGAAAATATCTCCTATAGATCCTAGAAATACTGCTGGATTCAAATCTTCAACGCCATCACAATTGAGAACAGCAGAAAATTTAGAAAGTAAATTATTGTCACCTAAAAAAAGCACCATGTCTAATGACGAACTTTACGCCGTTATTCATAAGACCAAAAAGAAATTGAATATTGAAGATGACCTGAACAGAGCGTCGCCTGTGAAAGAGCCAGAAGCAAGTACTCCTAAAAAAATTAACGTCGAAACTGGGTATATTGGCACAAGACAAAGCTGGTCCCCATCAAAAGGAGAATATATTGATTTTAATGCCGACATAGACAAGTTTTCACCAGTAAACGAGCCTAAAAACAGACAAAGTTGGGCTTGCAATGACCGTAAAGGCACCAAAAAGACTTCCACCTTGGATTTCAAAAAACTCCTACTACAAAAAACTAGTTCCTTATCCAGCAACAAAAAAATGTCCGCTGTAGAACAGCTAAAACTATCCAAACAACAAATGCAAAAGCAAAAAGAAGCCCCGAAAACTGCCAAAGACATGACAATATTAGACTTGAGTTCTTCCCCAAGGAGTCTTGTCAATCGCAGAATGTTAAACAATCCACCAGGAAGTCCCGAAAGGGGAACAGTAAAATCGTTGCCAAAAATCCTAAGTCCCAGATCCCAATGGAGATTTACCAATCCTAGAAGTGACGTGTTGTCATCAACAATTTTAGAAGATTGCAGAGAGGATGAGACTAGTAGTAATGCTTCTAAAAGTTCATTGGAAAAACGTTCCTTAAACAGTCTCGATAATAGTACAAAATTAATGTCTGTGAGTGAAAGGATGTCTGTTCAAAGAGCCAGATTTTTTGAGCAGGAACAAGAAGAAAAAGTTAATAAGTTGCCACCTACATTAGAAACTGCCTTTTAAATTGATTTTGCTCAATTTTTGGCCTATTTTATTTATGTTTTTGAAGTGAAACTTTTTAATGCATGCTGGGATTAAAATTGTTTTCAGTCTCCGCTTGCCATTCATTTTTATTCAATGGGGATTAAAATTTAATCAATAATTAAACTAGCGTAAATGTAGGTAAGGAGTTTTACTTCAAAGGCGCACCTGGTGTCTTTTAGATTTATATTTAGTATTTTCTCATTTGTAAATGTTTTAAAAAATTCACAAATTCCTGTATTTTTATTTCTAGTCTTGTTTTGCCTGCTTTTGTTTTTAATTTTCTCTTGTTTGCTTGTAAAATAGCTATTTCAATTTTAATTTTAAGTGACTCTAATGCCATTGATTAGCAGAAAAACAATGTAAATTATTATGTCCAGGATACTTATAAATTTAAAAAAAAAAAAAAACTAATATATTGTATTTTGTAAATATGAAATAATAAAAACAATTTGAAAATCTCATATTATAATTGATTTATTATTGGTACCTACCTTCATAAAAAAAAACACACATACACATACAAAATTATTTGGCACCCATTGGTGGGCGTACAGGTCCCATCGGCCCCATAGGTCCCATAGGCATCATCCCCATCATAGGAGGTCGCATACCCATCATCGGAGGCATAGGCCCGTGAGGCCCCATCATCATGGGGGGCATACCGCCAGGTCCCATTTGTTGCATCATTTGGGCTTGCGGAGCCCCGGGCCGTTGACCCATCAATTGTGCTGGAGGCGGAATGGCCACGCCACCCTTGCCGGGCCCCGCGAAGGGGTTGTTGGCGATTTTACCAGCCTTGAAAGCTGCAGTGGTTGCGTCAATTAAATGTTGAGCCTGGAATTTTTATTTAATGAAAAACGGTTTTTGGGTAGGGGTGAATTGGAGCTTACCTGTTCTTCCATCCATTTTTGGTAGTAAAATTTTACGTTGTCCTTGTGTTTTCTTCCTGTACAATGGGTTTTTCTTACGCTGGGAGAATCGTGAGTTAAATATGTGTCACAGTAGTCGCAATAGTATTTAGGCATTATGTTGGATCTAAGTACTTCTTTAATCACTAAATTTTAATATTATTTGGATTATTTATACAGAAAAATTAAATTTCTTTCTTGTTTGGTTTGTTAACAACAATTTTAACATAACCTACAAACAAGGAAAACAAACTTCTTATTAGTAGAACCAGTGCAGAAAAAATGTATGTTTATCTCTTTCTTATACAAGCTGGTGGTGAAAGACACGAATATACTCTGTGTGCACAAAATTTGACATTGTAATTGCAACGTTGCCAATTTTCAATCAATGAAAATCTGTCAAAATCCGAAATCTGTATTCCGTACCCATGTGTTTAGTTGAAAACTTTTAATTTCTATTTAATTAAATGTAAAAAGTGTTTTCTACAAAAGGTGTGAATAAAATTACAATTTTTTCATTACTTTTATTCATGATAGATCTTCAAAAATCATTAAAATCGAGCTGGCTCAATGCATAACCTAAAAAAATCCGACATGTCTATAAAATCCTCCAGCAGGAGTAGTCGCAGTTCCATGGGGACCCCTTCGATTTTGAAAAAATCCAGTAGCCTCAAAAGACGCCTCACCTCACTAGTTCAGACGCCCAGCAAAGTGCGATTCCAATTGCCCCATTCCCAGAAAGTGAAAAACATTCTGGAGGCGTACATCAAAAACCAGGAAACCAAAGAATATTTGAGTTTGGTTTGCCTTATACGAGACGCGGAACTGCTAGACGAAGATTTAAGTTTGTTGTTGAATGAAGCTTCAGAGTGCATTAGTCTTTTGAATCAAGATTTGAGGCTTTTTGTCGAAGCCTTATTGTCAGTTAAATGGGTGCATCGTAGTGCTGATGTGGTCAAGGAGTATCAAGGGTTTATTGTCAATTTGCTGAGTGCTCATAATTATCATGCCAAGTTTGTGATTTTCAAGTTGGTTCAGTTGTTCCTACCAGGTAATCATTTTTTTATTATAATAATGCATGATAATAATACAATGTTGCATTATTCCAGGTCCAAACGATCCAGAATGGCCAGATGGTAAAATAACAGAAGACGATAGACAAAAATGCATAAACATTCACATTGTCATTAAAATTTTACTAGATGTAGTTCCAATGTAAGTTGCCCATTGTAATTCCTAAACATTGTGTATGAGGGGTCAACCACTCTGTAAAAATGTGTACACTTATTGCGAAAATTTCGGTATTTCGCAAGTATTTCGTGAAATTCAAAGTATTTCGGTGATGGTAATTCGAACCTTGTTTTTTGTGGTATTGCCGAGAATTTCGAAATATTTGCAGGTAATTCGAAGTATTTCGAGGTAATTCGAAGTATTTCGGGGTAACTTGAAGTATTTCGCGCTATTTAAAATTAAGTATTAGTATTTTTTTTCTCCGAGAACAATTAATTCTTATATATATATAATTATCAGTTTATAATGTTCTACGTCTTCCTATTCCCGATCTCCAACCATCTTTGTCAATCCAGGCATCCTATTCTAAGCCTCTGTCTTTCATTTCCTCGTCTACTTCGCTTCTCCAGCTTCTTGGGTATTCTTGTATCAGCTGTTTGTCCTTTACATCATTTATTATTGTGTGTTTTACGTCCATAATCTCCCTAATTCTCAGATTTGTTATCCAATTAATTCTTTATCACACAAAATTCAAATATTATAGAATGAAAATTATAGTCCATCTTCGAACAGGCAATTTCAATTTTCAATTTCAAGCAAGCTTTATTGTCTAAAAATGTAGATTTTCATTGACAAAGCAAGAGTAATAATAAAATAAACAAAACAATAATAAAACAAGTTACATCTCAAAGGGGTAATTTTCCTTAGACTAAAGAATATACTTAATATTAAAATTACAGGACAGTAAACTTATGGTGCATGATTAAAATTGTACAAACTCACGCTTAAATACATACATAACAAAACAACCAGTCAAAGTCAAGTCACAACACAATTTCAAAATGAATAGGTCTAGACTTATAAAATAGATAAAATACAATAACTGTAACACAAAGCTCATTTAGTCGTCATAATACTCTTTTAAACTGTAGAAAGCCTTGGTGGCTAGATATTTTTTAACATTTGACCGAAATGCTTTATAACAGGAAACGTTTTTTATATCCTGTGGTAGTTTATTAAACATTTTTTTACTCTCATAAATTATCGATTGCTTTGTTAAGGCAAATTTTGGTATTGGGAGTGGTAACATATTATTATTACGAAGATAATAATTATTTTCCTGAACAAGACTTGCAGACTTTTTATATATAAGAGATACCGACTCAAGAATAAAAATACAGGGCACAGTCAGAATAGCCTCCTCCTTAAACAAGCCCCGACAGGTTTCCCTACAACCTACCCTGCATAAATATCGAACCGCCCTCTTTTGCAAAATAAATAAAGTGCGAATTGAAGATTGTGGCGAAAAACCCCAGAAAGCGATCCCATATCGAATATGGGAATCTATTAAAGAGTAGTAAGCATTTTTTCCTATTTTTTTGCCGAGTTCTTGAGTAACTGCTCTAATGACGTAACAGGCACAAGATATTTTTTTTGCTAGGTTGTCTATATGAGAATAAAATTTAAGTTGCTTATCAATGTAAATGCCAAGATATTTTACAGTTATTTTGTTTTCGAGGATTTGATCTTCAATTTTTATATCAGACAAGGCACATTTAAAAGTTAAAATATTGGTTTTTTGAATATTAAAGCAAAACTTGTTCGAGTCGCACCACTGTTTAATACTTAATAGATCTGATTCGATGGTTAGGTTTAAATTTTCAAAATCGAGAATCGAGGACGATAAAAGTCAAAATGACATTATGTTGGCAATACAATATAAAATTGACGTGTCTCGCAGAAATAGAAAAAGAGAGCCTAATTGTAAAAAATACAAGTCAGAAAGTATTGAAAAATGACATGCGCGCGCAACGCGTGGCTGCAGTGTAGCCAGATTGTATTGTTGCAGAACAAATGTAGACAATACAAATCGAACATTATAACATTAAAGAAGTGATATATTGTCAAGTGTTCTACAATGCCTTAAATCAGACAAAAAAAGAGCTTTAAATTGTATGTTAACTTTGATGGTACTTTTATTTTGATAAATGTTTCATCCGGCAACATCACACAATGAAATTGCAAAGGAATGTGTCAAGTATAATCTAACATAACTTTAAACGACACTGCGATAACAAACTCGATTTTCATTGGAAGCTCACCTGCAACCCACGAGTTGCGCGCACACCAGGTATTACGAGACACGTCAATTGTCAATGCTTTCAAATTTTTTATGTATAAAAGGCTTGTGTTGCCAACATAGTTACTAAATCTTTGACTTGGGGAATTATCTTTAAATAAAAAACGTACTCTATGACATGTTGACATAATTTGGATTTACTGCAGATTAAAGGCCAAATTATGGACTGACTGGCAAACGTCTGGTTGTTACCTTTTTTTTTTTTTTTTTTTACGGATATGCGCACTCGCAAGGAAATGTCCTATCACGCTCGAGAAGCGGCAAGTGCGCGGAAATGTCGGTGTATGTTGGTCTTGAAACGGTTCAGGTTGTAACCTGCAGGGAAAACCGTCGCAGGGAGTTTATTCCACAGCGATGCTGTTCTCCAGAGATATGAATTCTGATATAATGAGGTTCTTGTTGCCTCTAGTTTGACAGTAAATTCATGGTTGCCGTCTGTTTGACGGGTTCGCCTGGTAGGTGCTACTCTCGGTGGAATCATACGTGCCAACTCTTCAGAGCATTTTTCGTGATAGTACCTGTAGAAGAGAGATAAATCGCCCACAGATCTGCGATGTTCGAGACCATCCAAGTTACGAGTAAGTGCGGGGTCATTGATCAGCTTGATAGCTCGTTTTTGCACGGTATTCAAAAGCATTAAGGTATGTTTGGGTGCTGCACTCCATATATGTGAGCAGTACTCCATAGTTGGTCGAATCTGGGCTTTGTAGAGTGTCAGCAATTGGCTTGGTGTGTACAGATGTCTTGTACGAAATAGCACCCCCAGCTTTTGGGAGGCCCTTTTAGCAATATCTGCCACGTGACTGTGCCAAGACATGTTGGTCTCTGCAGTAACCCCCAAGATGTTCAACTGACTCTGTAATGTGACAGCACTTCCAGATAGCATGATGTTTGGCTCACCGGTGCTGGTCTTTTTTGAAAACAGAGCTGCTTGGGTTTTCTGCGCGTTGAACTGTACAAGGTTTTTGTTACCCCAGTCCTCTATTATCTCCAGGTCGTTATTTATCTGCGATATTTGAGTTAGTCTAAGATGATGGAATTCACGTGCGGAAAGACCTGTGGGTGGTATGAGTGAGGAGACTACATTGCCATCGTCTGCAAAGCAATAAAGTGGATTTACTGTTTTATCTATGAGGTCATTTATGTAAATCAGGAAAAGAGTTGGCGAAAGGATTGCTCCCTGTGGCACACCAGCATTTATTTGGTAAGAGTTGGAGTTCTGGCCATCCAGTGCAACATAAATGGATCTGTCCTTTAGGTAACTTTCAAACCAAGTGCAAAGTTTCGGCGATAATCCCATTGCTTTGAGCTTGTTGAGCAGATTTTCATGCCAAACTTTGTCGAATGCTTTAGATATATCCAAGGCAATTGTTCTTGTTTCACCCCGCAACTCAATCGCTTTTTGCCATAAGTGAGTGACGTATGTAAGTAAATCGCCAGTTGACCTATATTTTCGAAATCCGTATTGCTTATCGTTGATAATTTTGTACTTTTCCAAGTACTTGGTTAGGTGATTGTTCACAACTCTTTCCATTACTTTTGATATCACCGGAAGTAGAGCAATTGGTCTATAGTTTACCGGATCTGTCTTTTTTCCTTTCTTTGGAATGGGTTGTACTGCGGCAGACTTCCATGATGATGGATATACTCCTTGCCTGTAAGACAAATTGAATAATTTTGCGAAAGTTGGGGTGAGTTCGTTGGCGCAATTTTTGAGTACTATTGCGGGAATGCCATCCGGACCCATTGCTTACCTAGCCCAATTCTGCAAGAGGCTCAAATTCCTCGAGGGGGCAACACTGTCACCAGAAGAAGTGGGCCAACTGACACCCAGGAAAATAGCTTCCTTCGGCAGAAGTCTACGCTTCCTGGAGACAAATTAAGATGTAGAGTCACGCACAAAATATCTGCAAAGGTAGCAGTGCTGAGCGGCTGAAAAGCCGAAACGACTCCCCCGAAATCTACAATCTACCTAGCAGGTACTTTCTATGCACTAGAGAATAAAAAGTACCTGCTAGACACTTACTAGTTGGTCCATAATTTGGCCCCAATTGAAACAAATGGAAAGATATACTACCTGATATGTATAAGTAATCCGTGTCAGTTAGTTGTTAATAGTACAAGGTCATCGGTCATCCAACGAGGACTGAACAGGGGTTGACAGGGGATTATTTTTGACTTTCCCTGTATTTTTGAGAAAATTGAAAATAGCCAATTGGAACATTTTTTTCTGGAGAACTCAAAAATGGTACCAAAAAATAATTTGAACCAAAAACCAAAGAGTTACACCATCAATGAGCTGTTTTTTAAATGGAACAGTCTGTTTTTTGTATGATTTTCGGAGAAGTAGCACTTTTTTATATGCATTCTGTTGAAAATATCTGATATTCCAACAGCTATTTTTATCTTATTTTAATGTTTTATTTTCATTCCAGCAACTATTGATTTAATTGTTGTTTGGTTCCGAATAAAATCCATCATATCAAAAATTCGAGCAAAAATTCTTCATTGCGATCCGCAAGAAGAATCGTTATAACGAGAATTTTTTTAGAAGTATTGCGGGACTTCACGCGGTAATTCGAGGATATTTCGGGTACTTCGACGGTAATTCCATGGGATTTCGCGTACTTCGACGGGAATACCTGGTATTTCGAGGTGCTTCACGGTATTTCTAGATACTTCGAAGTATTTCGAAGGTAATTCGGGCCAAGTGTACACATATTTCGGGAAGTGGTTGACGCCTCGATTGTGTAGTAAAAGACCTTCAGAATTAAGGCTTTGCTGAGCTAAAATTCAGTACAGATTATTCTGACAAAATGACATACAACATAACAGTATAAGGATATACAACACATTTGTATTAACTAATTTCTTCCAGGTGCAAAGATTTATTATTACAATCAATAAACAAGCAATATCCCTATTACAATAAGCCAGTGCATACTCAAGAATTTTATTTGCACAACCTTCTAATGATTTTAACTTATCAGCCAATATTCAAACCTGATATTCTTCATTTAATATTCACAAAGTAAGTTTATAAAATATATTGTGGACCATTAGTTTTAAAACTATTCTCTAGGTTAATTATCATGGATGTAAATGCACCAAAAGAGGAAATCCAAAAACAAAAAGGCAACGAAGAGGAGATTTTTCAAATGGATGAAGATTCCAAATCAGTGACAACCAGTAAAACAGCTTTTACTGAAATAAATAGGACTTCTTTGGGCCATACGTTGGATATTTGTATGGACTTGATGCTGAATTATATTATAGGGGAATGCAATAATGAAAATGGAGAGTTAGACTGGGAAAAAACAAAAATACTTTATCATAATTTGATTACCATTTTTGATAAAGTCATTTTACCAACATACAGTTCCCACCATGTACAGTTTGTAATGTTTGCATTATGTGCCTTAAAATCAACAGTCACTGAAGCATTTCTGAATTATTTATGGAAAAAAGTATCCAATCCTAATATCGCCATTGTTTTGCGCCAAGCTGCAGTCACCTATATTGCTAGTTTAGTTGCTAGAGGCTCCTTTGTACCTCTATCGTAAGTGCTTCTTATTTCATTAAAACATTTTGATAAATTATTTATTTCCAGAATTGTAAAAGGTACAATGCAACAAATATCTGAATGGATCCATGCATACACAGCTAATCAAGATGGTTTAGAATGCGTTAATTCAGATGTGAGAGTACATGCTGTATTTTACAGTGTTTGTCAAGCCCTGTTTTATTTGGTAGCTTTCAGACACAAAGATTTAGTGGATAGGAAAAGAAATATTGTATTTCTGGAAAGTCTTCAGCTAGGCAAAATGGTGACTAACAGGCTTAATCCTTTAAGAGTTTGCCAGCCGGCTGTTGCCCAAAATTTTGCAGCAGTCACCAGAAAATATCAACTAGCTTATTGTTACACAGTTATGGATCATAATTCAAGAAATTGCATGCCTGTTATTTATCAGGATGAAAAAGGTTCGCAAGTAATTTCTGATCATGTACTGAGTGATTTTTACCCATTTGATCCATATATTTTGGAAAAATCTGGTGCTAAAGTTTGGCCTCACTACAAGAATTATCATGAAGAAGTCGAGATGGATATAGATAATAGTAAAGAAAGTGATGTGGATGATTTTTTGGAAAATGTTCAAGAAATGTCATCTAGTTTCAAAAATCATCAGTTTTCCTATGGTAGTTCTCCAGGATTTAGATTTAAATATAAAAATTAATTAATCGTTGGTTCCTTGAAATTAAGGAAATTATTTTAGATGGGCTAATTCTCATCTATGTTGGTAATAAATGACTTAGGAATTTCTCACTCCAGTCATAAACTTGAGGGGCCTTTGAGAAGAAATTGTCAAAGATTCCACTTTAAGTAATCTGTGATCAGGAATTTTAAGTTTTTATACCTTCTTGAATTAATTATTATTAATTGAAATTTCGCTTTTTTCAAATTTCTATTTGAAACATTTATGATTTAATTTTGTTTTCATTACATTTGAATTAAGTATTGCATTATTTATTGAGAAATAAAGTACCTATTATTTATTTAAAATTTGGTTTAATTAAAGATTATTTTAACTAGGTATAAGTACATATTTATTGAGTCTTAAGAAAAAAAAAACTTTTAGTAATATCATTCTTGGCCTTCTAAAAATGCCATCGTTTGATCAATCCAACTTTTATACTTTTTAACAAAAGTAAAAAGTACTGGTTTTTCAGTGCTGCAATGTTGACCGTCACTTTGTCTCACTGGCCTGTTTAAACTGACAATGCCTTGAATGAAATATCTGCCGTCATTGTGCGGTACCACTAGTCCACCTCCACTGTCGCCTTGACACGCACCTCCAGCTGAAAAAGGTACTATTTAGTACAGTTAAAATGTCGCACGAGTGAATATTACTTCCGTTAATGGATTCGCCGCATATTTTATCAGTACCAAAAAGATATCTTCGATAAAACTCGTCGTCGTTGTATTTTTTTAAACAAGTGCTTGGTTGGACATATTTCAAGCCAATTTCTTTCAAAACCTCTGAAGGTTCTGAAGATGTTTTTGTGAAACCCCACCCTGTAACCTAAATTATTGATGTTCCAACAACGTATTTCTTTATTGTTTCACTTACAGTTGCATCTCCTATATCAGTCAAGCTTGGTAAATTTCTATAACAAACTGGTTGGACTACTCTTGATAAAAAAAATTCCTTGTCCACCTTTAAAATTGCTATATCAGATCTGAACTGTGAATCTATTCCACGAAATTCATCATGTTTTATAAAACTGGATATCTAAATAAGCAATATAAGGTGATGAAAATTGTTTTGGAGGATGAATTTCTACTCACTTTTCGATATTGTGCTGTATCGATGTCTTTAGAGTCGTTATATTTATTAAAATACTTGCCAGCAGCCACACGATAAAGCTCTTTATCAAATGGTTCTCCAGTATTACCATTGGATACACAATGAGCAGCTGAAAAAAAAAAATGTGTAATGTTACAATATGCTACTGCAGTGAAACTTCTTTCAACCCACAAGTAGAGCTGGCACAAGTACATTACGAAAGGAGTTGAAGTACAAGAACAAGTTTTTTAAAATTATACATTTCATAAAGTAATTTATTTCAAGCAAAAACATTGAGCTTCAATTAGTAAAGTGGCATTACTTGAAGTATATTTTAGTGCGTGAAGTACCTATGTAAAATACTTTAGAGAAATAACTTGAAGTAATTTGGTACTTCAAATATCTGAAATCTGTTCAAAACAAGACAATTCTTAGTAATTTATGTAGTTATTCACAATATAATCCGATCCTCATTCTATTCTGGTATCTTATCCGAGCTTTATGTTATTTATAAATAATAAATATTGACAGCTCTGGCCTCTGCCCACAAGTATAGCACTATACAAAAAACAATTTACATGCCCGATCTGCTTGCTTGTGCCTGTTGCATTGAATGTCGCTCACGACTCAAGCAATCCTAGATGCTCATAGCGTTGCATGTTTTCGTTACATACTAACTTATACTCCCGTGCGTAAAGAAGTTTTTTAATGCAGTACTTAATTGGATTGAACATAAACATATACCTGTGAGTATAAAATTTGCTGTTAAAAGCGATCCACCACATTTAAGCTCAAAAGTTGTAGCATCACTCGAAGGCAAATACAATGCAACAACCCACGGATAATGACCACGCTCCACTATTTTACCATCGATTATCAATGGTACTGCACTTACTCGCTTTTCTCCGCATACTGTAAAAAGCAATAGAAACTATTTTTTTTTACATATTTTCTCCAATAGTTACCTACCTTCTTTGCATTTAGGACGTTCATAAGACCACACTCCATTAGTACAATAATTAGTGGTATAAAGTGAGGCTGATTCGTAATAAAGATCACATGTAAATGTGAGAATGGTGTTGTGTGTGGCTCTATCGCACGGAATTACAGAATTGTCACGTTTACACTGAAGAACTGCGTGGTCATCGTTGTAGTACTTTTCGCAAAGAACTGTAAAAGCATTAATTATTAAATTGACTGATTATTGATCCAATTTATACTCACCAAGACATTTTGGAAATCCAAAAGCAACTATCTGTCCGTTACTCCATTCTCCATTTTCTTGGCAATAGAAAATCTCTTGGTCTCTATCATGGCTGGTGGATAATTGATGAGTGCCATTATTGCATCTGAATATGATTTGAGTCATTGGATCTACGCGTTCGTTTGGTAGAGCCGCTTTTTCAATTATTCTTCCGTTCCAGTATTTCCAGGAGCCATTCAACGGTTGAGCAGGAGTTGTGCATCTACATTTAGTAAGAAATAATTAGTGTGAAATTCTAAATATATTTCAAATTTATTACGTTGGTCCCTTTATTCTTGGTGGAGGGGTCGCAGTGGTCATTGTAACAACAGGACAAATACTTGGGTCTTCGTCCGAATTGTCGTGACATTCTTTTATTCCGTTACATCTGAAATAAATAAATCCATCTACATAGACTGGGCTTAAAGCAATACCAATACGACTTCACTCACTTGGCAGTTCCATCTACACAAGCACCATATTTACACTTGAAAGTATATCCAGGACAATTGACATTAAGACACAAATCCTCAGTTTCATCTGATCTATCTTTGCAATCGATAATGCCATTACATCTACCATCAATATCAATACACTCGCCGTTGGTGCATTGGTACTGATTTGATCTTAAACAATAAATACGGATGGATGGATACGTTCAAATTTTGTATATTTATGTACCTGCAATTATTGTTGTCGAAACAATTAGCTTCATCTGAGTTATCTCGGCAATCTTGTTTTCCGTCGCATTTGAAATGACCGCTTATACAACCACCGTAATCGCATCTGAATAAATATCCAGGACAACTAAAATCGAATGCTTTAGTAGGGAAAATTTTGAATTTTTTGGAAGCTCACATAATATTTTCGCAAATTTCTTTTGTTTCATCGCTTCCGTCTGGACAATCTACAATACCATTGCACTCTTGGTCATTATCAATACATTCCGGACTATCTTGACATTGAAATTTACTTTTATCACTAAAAAAGAAATTGATTCACGAAAAAAATTGGGTATCATCCTTGTACTAATTAATTATTACCTTCCCTTGCAAGGATTGGGTTGTCTTTTGACTCTTCTTAGTGTATGATTTCCATGATAACTTGATTCCAGTTTTAAACTTTCATTTTTTTGAACAAAAATACCTTAAATTATTACACAGTTATATTAGCTAGCCTTGAAATTATATTAAATTTTGGAATTCCCATTATTTAATGATCATATATTATAATAAGCTTACCCAATATAATTATTATTGTTTGAAAAATGCCAATCAAGCAAATCAAACGCATTTTATTCACCTATTGCTATTACTACTTCGATATTACCCACTGATATTGTTATTATTTGTGCATTGTAAATGTTTTGATTATCCAATTTTAAATGAACCCTACAGTCAATTGCGTATAAATGAAATAATAATGACCAGCAGGCGAGATTCGAACAAACAAAAACAAAAATTTGTCTTTGGAATCTCGAATCGTAAACGAGAATTTCTTGACTCTTGACCACAGCACAAACTGGTTGTTTTAGAATAGAACATTTTTATCTCAACTCAATCAATGCACTGTAGGTATTTAAAAGATTGATATTTTTATTGTACTTAATTATTGCTGAAAAGAGCTGAAATTTTCAGGGATTGTAGTCCTCTATACAAGGATAAGATCTTGAGTAATTTTGTTGTAGTTCTTAAACCAAGAAACAAAATAATCATTTAAACAAACGTTTAATTTTCAAATATGTAAAACACATTTTTTTTTTGTTTGATATGAGATATTATTTATGTTAAGCTTAACAAGTTGCTTATTATTAACATTAATAAATGAATAAAAGTATTCAACTTATTTTAATTTGAAACAAAATAAAAATTTAAATGCAACTGTTTTCTATCAGATGCCTCAATTTGCTGATAGAAAACAGCCTAGCTATTTTCAAGTAAATGTTACATCTGTTAGGTGAAGTTTATAATAATTAAAAATTGGCTATAATAGTTATTTTTTTTTTAACTTAGACCGCAAATTTAAGGCTTTAGCACACAACTTTTTCAAGTCGAAATGTTCACAGGGATTCGAGTGATTTTTTTACAGCCGCAACAACAAATTGGACAAATACAGCATATAAACTAGAATTTCTTCAGCTTCAATTTTGTACTAAAATTCAACAATTCACTGGATGCCCTCAACAAAAGCCGTATCGTCCAGCGTGTGCAGCCAATTAAAAATCATCATATTTCTCTCGTACTTGGACAAAGGCTTGCCCCGTTCCCGTTCCACGTCCCTTATTGTTAAAGGCAAATTTTTTCCCGCTCTGGATTTTGCTGCCCTCAACATTGCAGCGTTAGTACTGCTCGATGTTGTAGGGCTTTTGCTAGGCGTAGGACTTGATCCGGGAACTGTCAGTCTTGTTGGACCTGGAAAAGACCCTATGTTTAATATGAAAACGCTTATACTATAGACTAAATAAGCCTTACCAGGACCAATAACGCTTTGAGAACAAGAATCTAAACTAGCTTGAGCAGTCGATGGAGTCACTTCTAACCTGTCTAAGTTAAATTCACTCTGAGACAGTCGCTCTAAGGCCTTGTAGGTAGTCAGCAGTCTTCTTCTTATGTAGTTTTGGCGGACCTAATCAATTATTTCCATTACAGAAATGAATGTTTGCTTCATATTTACTTACCTTCTTGTTAACAGATCGTATAAAATCGGCTGCAGTGAAAGCAGGAGGCGGAGGCGTACAAGCTGGAGGTTGTGAGGTAGTGTTGGTGGACGACTGACCTCCGTGAGGGGACGGCAGTTGTGAGGTCGAAGCTATATCGCCTACTGCTACCCACGTAGAACACGATCTAATGATAAAATGAACATTAAATCTGTTTTACAAAGTAATAGTAAATCACCTTGAAGTATGATCCAATCTGGCATGTTCCAACAAAAATCCGCTTCTCTGCAACGAATTCAAAGCCAGTTCGGACACGGCGTTTCGGAGACCTTGCAAATTAGGACCCTCATCAGGCGAAGGTAGCTGGCTGATATCGCTAGTGCTGAAACTTTTCTGTAGACCCACAGCCGAAGATAAGGCGGCGCAACTCCGAATCAAATCGGTTTCTTCTTCGAACCACAAAATTTCCGGGATGTCTGCGGGACGATTTTGGGTTCTGGACTCGGGATTAGGACTGTGGCCTCTATCGCACTTGAAATTCAGTAGTCTTCGGCCTCCGGTAGAGTCTACAGAACTTACGGAAAACAATGATAAGTCTGTAGTGACGCTTTCGTGACTTGGCGATCGTAATATACGACAAGCCACACTGAGAACTGGTGTTTGTGGGGCCATTAAATTAGGGGTTTCGGACGACATTGTTTTAGTAAACGTATTTGGTTTTAAGTCATCGTGTGCGTGTTTACGTTTTACACCGAATGATTATGTTCCTGCTGGGGATGCAACAGGAACTAATGCGCTTGTGTTCTGGATGGGGCGGGGATCTAAAGGGATCAATATAGAAGGCGAAGGATAGTACAGGAGTGAAGTTTTTTTTTTTTAATTTCAATGACGCAATTAGTCTTGTGAAATTTTAGACAGGTTAATTAATTAATTTGTTGCTTGCTCATGACAATGATTGAGATGTTTCGATAGCGATATAATTAATAAAAATGAAGCTACCTATTTCTTTTTGAAATTTTTTTCTGGGATTTTTTCTCAGGAACTACAAGTCCAAATGAGCTGACATTTTCAGAGATTGTGGTATTCCACTGAGATAGGAATCGCTGAAAATTTCAGCTTTCTATCTATAATGGAAAAAAAAAAATTATAGGTCTTTAAAGTTTTTACCTTAGTATGATGAAATTTCAATTTTTTCTATGTTGAGATTTTGTGTCTAAATGATCACTGGGGACCTCTCAAACTCCATACACTAAATTATTCTGGGATGTGAAGCAGAAATCTATGAAAAAAAGGCACTCAGAAAAGAAAATTGAAATATTGATAAATTCACCCCAAATTGCTTAACGCAATTTTATTTCTGGAAAAATGAGTCCAAATGAGCTGAAATTTTCTGAAGATTCCAGCTTTCTATCTATAATAGAAAAAAAGTTATGGCACTTCAGAGTTTTCAAAAATCCAAATCATAAGGTAAGCTTTCCCTTAATACTAAAGTGATGAAATTTCAAATTTTTCCATGTTGAGGTTTCGTTTATACATGATCATTGGGACCCCAAAACTCCATACATTAAATTATTCTGAGATTTGTAACTGAGTATAGCTACCATAGTACTAAAATTATGAAATTTCAAATTTTTCTATGTTGAGATTTCGCGTCTACATAATCATTGGGGACCCCCCAAACTCCATACACTAAATTATTCTGAGATTTGAAGTCGGAATCTATAAAAAAACGCACTCAGAGATTTCATAAATTTACCCCAAATTGCAAAATAGTCATCCACTGGGATAAAAATCCCTAAAAATTTCTATCTCTAATATAAAAAAAGTTATGAGCATTCAAAGTTTTTAAAAATCCAAGTCCAAAAGGGGGGAAAGTCTTTCTTCCAAAATGGTAGATTTCAATTTTTTTCTTTTATGAAGATTCCTACTGCCAAAGAATCAAACAAAAAAAAATATTTAAAATAATTTTATATTTTTATCACAGATTACTTGTCATGTATTTTAGAAAAACATATATTAATTTCATTTAGGTAAACTTAAAATTTCACCCATCAAATCGTTCCCATTAACAATTCGATCGCTCAAAATGCAAATTTTCGACCCCATAAGCGTCTCCAGCAAATTGCACGCTGCTATTTCGGCATAAGTTACACCGCCTACAACATAGACTAAAATATTTCTGCACAACAATGGATATCTTTTTTCGTTCCTGATGGCAACTTTCCCAAAACTCTCCAACTTAATTTGAACATCCTCCAAAGGTATTGAATTAAATAGCAGGCCAGCTATTTGAGTTATAAGTGGAATATAAGCTCCACCGTACACGTAACTAGCACAAGTTGGGTGGTTCAAATTAACATTATCAGGATCAGCTGGAATTTGCCTGAGATTTTTAGCATTGGTATAAAAATTGCTTGAAGCAAATTTTGGTAGTTTTAAATTCAGTTTTCCTGGAGTGTAATCTTCAATAAATCCTAAAGTTGTTAGATTATTGAAGGCAAAGCCATAACTGTAACCAAACTGGTGCAAAAATTTGCGCCAAAATGATTTGATTTCAGTTTCAGACAGGCATTGAGTGATTGATATTAAACAAAAAAGCCTCAATGATAAAAGCATGTCGTTTTCAGTAGTCAAAATTTCTTCCAAGTAACTAAAATTAGCTGATTTATTTGAATTGTGAGTTATATCAATTTCAACTTCTTTTTGTCTCTCATATCTATGGCCTAAAATATTTATGATGCTTTCTGCGGCCAATAAATGATTTGAAATTAAGTTTTTTCTCAATTTAGTGGCTTGCAATTGAGTCTGAACGTAATGCTTAATTTCATCTAGGGCCATCTCTTGAGAACTAACTTTTTCCGTTTTTAACTGTTTAGTTAAATTACTCAATACTGAAGTCACTTGTGTAAAATATCTGTTTTTAATATCAGCATAAACAGTATCTTGTTGGCTGTTTAATGCAATATTCACTGGCTGTTTTTTTCTTATAGGGTTACATTTGTTGTCAAGATTTGTTTCAGTTTCAGGTTTCTTATAGTCACACATGCCTGATTTAACAGGATAAATTTCACTCAACAAACCAGCATAAATTCCTGGAGTCAGCAAGGCACTAGGATAGTCTATACTCCTGTCAATTATTATAAGAGCTCCAAAATCTGAGTCAACTTTATCAGTATCGCCTTTGTCTATACACAAGTTTTCGTATTGTTTTAATATGGTATTAGAATGTTGGCCAAGGGTTAATATGAGATTTGGTTTACCAATGACAAAGGATAATTGCCATAAGGCTTTGGATAATGCTGGTAGTAGGCTATAATTTTCATAGACAAAAAGGGTGTTGTATAAAAGGGGCATTTCTAGGCTTAAAATGCCTGTGTCTAAATGAATTGGCATCCATTGAAACGAATGCAATTTAACTACACTATCTAAAAGACCGTATTGTTCCAGTTCTTCCTGGAAAATGTAAAGTTGTCTTGGGATTACTATTATGTGGTATTTGTTGCTGGGAGGATTTTCTATGTCCACTTGTGCTCTAATTTGGTCGACGACTCTATTGAAAATTTTCAATTCAGGTGGTATCATGTAAAAAATTGGGTTGTCTTGGAAATTGGGAGCTACCGGTTCTAGTTTGAAAATTTTCTCGATTCCAGAGGATCTAGAATAAGGTATTAATAATTGAAGGTGGAACTATTATAAAATGCTTCTTACTTTAACCATTGCACTCCACAAACTCTCTCCAAAGGTTTTATAAGAGATGACTCGATGACTAAAAATTTTAGATTTGGATTTACTAGGAATATTTTCAAAAGTTGTTGTTTTGAAATTTCTTGTAGGGAAGAGAGTTTTTTGAAATAATCCATTTTTGTAGGCTTGGAAAGTAAAACACAAACGTAAACATAAACATATCAAAAACATCTGATTCATTATTCCGTTTATGTTAGGATAGCTTAAATTAGCAAATTTTAACGGAAAGGCAACATCGCTTAAGGCTTGAAGCAGTGTAATTTTTGGCGGTTAATATTTTTATGTACGACTGGTACAATCTACACTATAAGAGCTTATTACGTAACTCATTTTAGCTTGTTTGAGTTACGCAATAAGTTGTATTATCGTACTTAGTGATGTAATGAGCTCAGATTCCCCACTCGTTACTGTAATGAAGCTCATACTGTACTAGTAATATAAATAACTATTATTTTAATTAGAATAGCAATTTTTGTCATGTAGAGTATTTTTACCTGAACCGAATGCAATTATAATAAACTTGTTCTGTTTATTAGGTTTTTTGCCTTTTAATTATTCCCCTGCTACTAGGCTAAAGCAATTATTATTTTAAACTATCATCGTCAGATAATAACTTTAATTATACCTATCTATTCAGTATCGCACTTGAATAGACAAATATTTATTTAAAAAAAAAACTGCTACATAATTTCACTTTTAATACTAAAATGACAAAGGAAACCCTATTAATTCTTCTACTACATTTATCCATATTAACTTTTTACATTTATTCTTTAAAACAATCAGCAGCGATACGAAAAACTGTAGACATCAGCAAATTGGTAAATGAGTTGAAACAATTAGGACCAAGATTTGAAAATGTAACCAATGAAAAAGCTGAAAAATATGTAAAAGAAGGCAAATATGTGGGACTCTTATTTTTCACTACATGGACGTTTGTAAGTAGCTTTGTTAAATCAATTATTATATAAATTGAAAATCATTATCAAAAACGGTAAATTCAATCATGTAATAAAAGAAAGTGTGTGTGTTTCTCAAAACAAATTTCGCTTAAGTGTTTTTAATCGTCAAGCATAAACAATCCTGGTATAATAAATTAACCTTTAACTAAGCATTTAAAATATAATGGCTAGTAATAGACTTAAAATTGAAAAATTGGACAGTTCATAATCCAATCTTGTTTATGTTAGTTCAGTTTGTGTGCAAATTTGTTAAAAATGTCTCCTAAAATTAGCATAATTTTATATAGTGCTTGGCTTGTTTTTGGACTAATTTCTCTGGTATATTCGGCCAATATAAAAGAATTTACGCAACCAAATATATTGCAACAGTTACCAGAAAATCTAAAGCAATTAGATAAATTTCGCTACAATTTTTTCACTATATGGAACTATGTAACTATTATTTCAATACCGTTGACAAAGTACATTTATGAACATTATTTTTTTAGATTCTTCAAATACTATTCTTATTGTTAGCAGTCTCAGACGAAACATCCAAATTGGCGAACTTAAAATCAATACAAAAATCAATTGAAAAGATTAGACATTATTTATTTTCCACATTACTTCTACCTTCTACGCTTATAGTAATATCAGTCTTTTGGTCCATTTGGCATATAGACAGAGAACTCATTTTCCCCAAAGTCATTGACAATTTTTATCCTTCATGGCTCAACCATACACTTCACACCTTCATAGCGGTACCAATAATAATAGAGATGTTTATACAATTTAAAAATCAACAATTTGAAGTTTCACGGACCCTATGTATGATCGGATTAACAATATATTGTAGTGTTTATCAATTTTTGTAAGTATTGTGCATTTTGATTGAATTCATTCTTCTAAAGACATTTTTTTTTTAGGTATCTATCAGTTTATTTTAAACATGGAATTTGGCTGTATCCTATTTACAACGTATTAAATTGGACTCAAAGAGTAATTTTTCTATTAGCCCAGTACTCAATAGGACTTATTTGTCAGCAAATTGCCATTACTATTCTATCAAAGAAAAATATTAAAACAAAAACAACATAATATTTAATTAATAAATGTATTGTCTTTCTTATTAACTAGAATTTTCTTCTCTTAAGAATATCTGGCTTCCAATTGATTGGATGCGTTTCTTCTGTAGCAGTAAGATCCTCTTTGTAAATTTTGATAGTCTTATCAGCTTCAGTTGTAATCAATCTAGATCCGGAGTTGTCAAAAGTCATTGAAAATATACCAGCCTCACTGTCCATTGAACCGGGCTGCACTGGAGCTTGCAATCTTTGAAAATTATAACCCGTACGCCAATCCCAAAAATGTAAAGTTCCATTATCTCCACCAGAAACTAGCACACTATCAGCGTTTACAGCTAAACAATTAATAATGGCATTATGACCGGAAAGGTTTTGGATAAATTTACCATCAGGACATTTCCATTGTTTGATATTGTCTGGAGAACCAGATGCAAACATATTGCTAAAAAAATAAAACAAAGTTATATAAGATGTGATAAGATTCAATCCATAACAGGGTTGGCATATACAAAAACCCACCACGTAATGACAAAAACATCAAAAATCCAGTGGGCTTTGGGCTTTTTGTGTCTAAAACCCATTCATACAGAAAACTTTTGGCAAGTTTTCAATGTTCGAGAATTTCAATTTCGAAGCTTTTCAGCTACAAAACAAAATCTCAATTAACAGGTTTGTAGACAATTCAATTGACTTTAATTAGAGCCTAATTGTGTTGAAATCGGATGAATATTAAAGGAGCTGTGAGGCAAAAACTGTCTCTGTCATTGTTGGAAAATTTTCAATGTTCAATAAATTTTGAAGCTTCTCAGGTGAAACAATTTTGTGTAGTTAAGTAAACATTCCCTGCAAAGGCTATTCAATCTAATTTTTGGCACGTCAGTGTTTCTGGAAAGGTGGAAATGCAGCAAGGTAATCCCTGTCTATAAGGGTGGTCCTAGACAGGACAAGACATAAAAAATTATAGGCCAATAACCATTGTCTGTGCAGTTTCCAAAATTTTTGAAATGATTATCTTCAACATGCTCTTTGCTGAAGTCAGGGATAAAATAGCCTTAAATCAACATAGTTTTTTACCAATGAAGTCTACATTTACGAATCTCGCCACCTTCTCACAGTTCATTCATGAAGCGTTGAATAGAAAATCACAAGTTGATGTTGTATACACTGATTTAGAAAAGGCTTTCGATAAAGTCCGGCATAACATAATTTTGAGAAGCCTGGGGGATATGGATGTACCTCAAATTATAATCGATTTAATTCATTGATACTTGGCTACTGACCGAAGTAAACAATGTCAGTATGTTGAAATTAAGGGCTGTAAATCAGTAATTTTTATCAGCACATCAGATATTCCATAGGGGTCAAACCTGGGTCCACTTTTGTTTTTGATCGCATTTAACAGGGTATTGTTGGGAGTAAGGAATGTTGAGTCACTTGGTTTTGCTGATGATTTGAAGTTGTTTTTTGAAGTTTCATCAATGACAGATTGTGCAGTGCTCCAGAGAAAGGTGTCTGATATTGTGGCATTGTGTTCTGAGAATAGTTTCAAGTTGAACCTTGATAAATCTGTATGTATGTCATTCACACGCAATAAAAATCCTGTCATTTATGATTATTCTGTAGGTAATGTAAAACTGAAAAGAGTGTCTGAGCAAAAAGATCTGGGAGTTATTTTTGATCCTGCTTTGTCTTTCTTGGGACATATTTTGTCAAAAATTTCTAGTGCTCAGAAGGTATCAGGTTTAGTATTGACATTAGAGAGTTATTGGAACTAATAAATACTGCCTCGCAGTATTAAGGATCTACCTTATTTTATTAGTGCATCAGCACTATTTTTCCAAGAAAAAAACAGTTATTGGAAGACTGTAGTAGGTGCTAGAGTATTACCTTATTTTGTATTCATAATTTTGACAGCTGATAGCTATGTTTATAAATTTCAACCTCAAAAAGTGTTTATTTTTGTTTGTGATTTTCTGCCGATACTCATTTTTCGATGCTACCCACAGTAAAATAGAAAACTACTGTAAAAAATACATTTTCCAAGTAAAATTAGGTCACCGTCGAAAAGCGAAACGTCAAAGTCGTCCAAAATGTCAGAAATTTGAAATAAGGGAAGTTTACTGCCTCGCACTAACCATACACAAATAAAGACAAGTAGTAACCTTATTAAGGAAATCCTTATTTTCAGACCCAAATGCGCATGTGTAGATGTCAAAATAAGGCTAATTTAAATACTGCTTGTCCTTATTGCACGTCCAATAACTCTCTATTAGCTTATCTCTCTTTGACAGTATCGTTGTGCCCATCTTAGAATATGGCAGCGTAATATGGTCACCCCAATACCATAATTGGAGTGAAATTATAGAAAGTGTGCAGCGAAAATTCTTGAAATGTCTGTACTTCAGTAAGTTTGGAGTTTATCCCCAGCATGGCTGTAGCAATTTGTTTTGTGTGTTCAGTAGACTGTCACTGAAGAAAAGGCGGATAAGAATATTCTTATGCACTATGTATGGGGTTTTGACCAATAATATTGACTGCCCAGGTATTTTGAAACAGCTTCCTTTTGCTGTAAATCGTATTAATTCAAGGAGTAAAAATGTCTTTTACTTGGCTTACCCTAGAACCAATCTTTATAAGTGTTCTCCGATCTATAATTTGTGTGATCTATTTAACCTTTATACCTCAGATGTAGATATAGATATTATTAGTCTTAAGGCATTCAAAATGATAAATGACAGGAAACTGCATTCATCCTAAATTGTATTTCTCTGTATGTTGTAATTGATCAACTTTGTTAAGATTGTAAGTAGGTTTTAAGAGTATGTCAAATGTTATCTGTATTCTTGTATTATTACTATAAAATCAGTATCTGTAATTGGCTCTGCTGTTGATACTTTGAATAAATAAATAAATAAATAAATAAATAAATAAACACAAAAACCTCACAAAAACTAATACAATTACCCAAAAATCCATTATAAATTTTTAAAAACGCCAACCCTGATTCATAAACTAAAATTCTTACAGTGTTGGATGGAAAATAACATCTCTGACACTCTTCTTGTGATTAGTCAAAGTACAGATGGATTTTCCCGCTGCCAAATCCCACAGTCTTATTGTGGTATCGTGAGAACCTGTAATCACTTGTGGCTCAGATGCTTGAGATATGACTTTGGCCACAGTGTGAGTGTGGCCAGTCAAAGTGTGAATATTTGCTTTGGTTCTCATATCCCACACTCGTGCAGTGGAATCTCTGCCTGCAGTTAACAGTACATCAATTGTAGGATGTAAGGCTAGAGAATATACTGCCGATAAGTGTCCATGATAATGTCTAATTACCTGAAAATAAGTTGTTATTTTGATTCTAGAATAATTGATGTAAATACCTTATTGTATTCCAAATCCCAACACTTTACTTGTCTATCTTCACCACAACTGAACAAATAGGGATGTCTTGCACTCACTGCCAGACCTCTAACAGTGCTTACATGACCTGTTAAAGATACTTTTAGTTGGCCTGAAGCTAAATCCCATATTTTTATAATTCTGTCAGCTGCTCCAGTTGCAAACCACTTAAAACAGAAAAACATTTAAAACCCTGTTTAAGTTTTAACTAAGGACTCTTACTTCATTGCCAGGTTCAACAGCACAACACCTAACCCATCCCAAATGTCCAGCGATAACCCTGTACAACTTCCAAGGCGGATGCCATTTGGGTTTTGGCATTGTTGTTGGTGCTTTTTTCATTATATTTGCCAACTGTGTTTGGGCGTTTTGTCCTCTAGTGCTCAGAGCATTTTCTGTAAAGGGAACCACCGCGTTTTCAGGGTTCTCTTGATTATCTGTGCCTGGAGGCGGAGGATTGGGACCAGCTGCAGCTTCTCGCAGGTTTTTCATTGCTTGCATTTTTTTCACATCGTCGAAAACTAAACCGTAAAAGTCGCGGGCTTTTACTGACGTCCTCAGTTTTTCGCTGGAAATTCATATTGTTGTAGATGTGGACAGAGTTTGGTGATTTATAACTTACGCTTTTTCGTCTATTGCAGGTAGGAGTCCCTGGTTTGCCAGGAACATATCGTGGGATCTCTTGAGGGATCTGAATACGAGGGTGTGTACTGAGTGTTTTTGAACGTCTTCTGCCATTTTTAGAGCTTCTTTCTGAATACTTAACAAATATAAACACAACAGACGGATAAACGAAATATAAAGGTTATAAAATGGCCGTGCCGCCAAAATTCTGTTAAAAGCCGTCAAAACTCAAGAGTGCGTTCGAAATCAGTCTGGGCGTCACACCGAGTGCACACCAGGGGCGAGTTCAGAAATAACACACCGGGGTGAGTGCGATTTTATGGGTGTGACTGAAATGACAATTCTTAGGCGACAACTTTCGTAGGAATTTCTGAACGCTTGGTGTGACCAATCGAGCATCTCCTCAAAAATTTCACCAAATCTATTGGAATTACTTTTTTTTATTATTCATTTTTTTAATTTGAAGGAAAAACTTTAATTCTTATTTATGTTTTGTTTATATTTGGTGGGATAATTGATATTTTATGGGAGGAATGGTTGACATTGTTGACATAAAGACACAATCACACCGCAGCCACACCAAAAAATTATGGTGAGACCGGTGCGACACCTGGAGCGTGCCCGAAGTACTTTCTGAACGGAACAGTGTGCGCGCACTCGGTGTGCCTCTACCTTCACAATCCATTTCTAAACGCACTCCAGCCGTTCGAAAATAAATGGGTATAAACTCCGTTCGACTTTTAGCTAGTTCGAAAATATTCGGGGTGCTACCCAGTGTGCACTCTTTCTAGGCCGTGTTTATGTTGGAGCTGTGATAAACGATAAAAGCAACGATACTAATGATACTTATACATTAGTATCGTTGCTTTTATCGTGTATCACAGCTCCAACATAAGCCGCTTTCCAGCTGACGCTTTTGAGCACGCAATCGAGCTTTTGCGCGCGCAATTGCTTGAAGCGCGTTTTCGTGTTCCAGTCGTACTGCGCTTCAAGAGCCTGCTAACTTTTGCGTTTCAAACACAGAACACTGTGCTGCACCGTGCTTGAAGCACACAGCTGGAAAGCGGCTATAAACACAATAGAGAGTTCTCGTGCTGTCCAAATTTCAAATACCGTAACGTTCTTTGACAAGTATGACAGTTCTTACGGTAATTAATGTTAGCGGAACCCGCTACCCAACGGGAGTTAGCGGATGCCTTACCGTAACGCTATGCTATGTGAAAATTAGTTTACGCTCCATTTACGTCTGCAAAAACAACAACTTCTAATAATTTCTCCATAAAAAATACCAAAGAAAAATTAATGAAACTCAGAGGAATCCTCAGGATAAATAAAAGTTGGCAAACAAGCAAAAAAAAGATGGGTTAGATCCCTCAATTCAGCTGTCAAAATGTAAACAGAATAAGGGATTAGAGGATTTTTGTGTCTTCGTGTCCGAGAACTATAAAATACCGTATTGTTAGCGGTACCGTATTAGCATAGCGTCTGAGGCACGAGAACTTTCTAATACTATTAAAAATACCATATTGTTAGCGGTACCGTATTAGCGTAACATCTGAGACACGAGAACATTCTAATACCACTGTACCTAACCAACGCTACCGCTGGTAAATTGCACTCTTGTCATTCTTGTCAGTTTTTTCATTAAATCTACTTACTACTTTCAGATAAGTCCGATTTATTTATTCCATTTTCCGTTTCCAGGAAGTTTTTGTTGGGGTCAGTTAAGTTAGCCCCCCCATAAAAAATTTCTGGATGAAAATTATTCCATAATTTTGCTCTCATTTTGCTCCACTAACTTCGTGCCATTAGCAGTCCCCCTCCAGCTCATTTTGTTCTCCGAGTTTTGCTCCATGATCGGCGAGTTTTGCTCCATTACCAGGAATGACCTACAGAGCTCCCAAGAATCTCTCCCAGCCCCCCCAGTGAAAATTTTGAAATTTGATCATGCTCATTTTGTTCTCCGAGTTTTGCTCCGTTTTGCTCCATAATCGGCGAGTTTTGCTCCATTACCAGGAGAGACCTACAGACCTCCCAAAAATCTCTTCTAGCCCTTCCCGGTAAAAATTTTGAAATTTGAACATGCTCATTTTGTTCTCCGAGTTTTGCTCTGTAGGTCATTTCTGGTGATGGAGCAAAACTCGCCGATATTGGAGCAAAACGGAGCAAAGCTCGGAGAGCAAAATGAACATGTTCAAATTTAAAAAATTTCACTGGGGGCGCTAAGAGAGATTTTTGGGAACTCTGTAGGTCTATCCTGGTAATGGAGCAAAACTCGCCGATTATGGAGCAAAACGGAGCAAAACTCGGAGAACAAAATGAGCATGATCAAATTTCAAAATTATGATTTTTTGGAAAACTTTGAAAGGTCATAACTTTTTTTCTATTATAGATAGAAAGCTGAATCATTCACTGAAAATTATCCTTTTTAAAGGACTACAATCTCAATCAATTTTCAGCTCATTTGCACTTATTACAGTTCCCGAGATAAAATCGTGTCAAGCAATTGGGGTGATTTATCAATTTTTCTGAGTGCCTTTTTTCCTAGATTTTGGCTTCAAATTTGAGAATAATATTGTGTATGGAGTTTGGGGTATGTTGATTGACCAGGATACAAAATTTCGTCAAAAAAACATTTGAAATTTCATTGTTTTAGCACAGCATATAGGTTTTACAGTATACAGCATAGGTTTTAGTAAGAAGGTAAAAGTAAGTAAGTAGTAAGAAGGTACCTACCTTATGATTTGATTTTGAAAAACTTTGGAAGGGCTTAACTTTTTTTTCTATTATAGAGAGAAAAGGCAACAACGCTAACAACGCAACGTCAACAACGAGGCTGTGCAACAACCAATGAAGCAACAACACAAACATAACCTCAAGTTTTCGACACATCAAAAATCCAAATAAAAATCTTCCTCAAAACATAATTTATTATAATAAATTTGACGAGAGAGACTCTTGAAAATGGGCGAACGTAAAGGCACCAACAAATATTACCCGCCCGATTATGACCCGAAATTCGGGGGCCTCAACAAATTCCAGGGCACTCACGCCCTGAGGGAGAGGGCCCGGAAACTGGATAAGGGCATCATAATCATTCGTTTCGAAATGCCTTACAATATCTGGTGCGATGAGTGCAAGAATCACATCGGAATGGGCGTGAGATACAACGCTGAAAAGACCAAAGTAGGAATGTATTATACGACTCCAGTTTATGAGTTTAAAATGAAGTGCCACCTTTGCGATAATCATTTTGTCATTAGGGCTGATCCAGCAGTAAGTAATTTTATTAACTGATTCAGCTACATATTTCAAATTGCTTTTTTCAGAATCTGGATTACATTATAATTTCTGGTGCAAGAAGGCAAGAAAACCGTTGGGATCCCACACAAAATGGTCAAGTTGTTCCTGAAACTAAAGAAACTCAAAAAAGGCTATTCGATGATCAAATGTACAAATTGGAACATGGCAGTGAGGATAAAGATACAATGGAAAAAGCTAAACCCCGTCTTGTCAACTTATTCAATAGAAATGAAGATGTCTGGTCTGATTGTTATTCGGCTAACCAGAAACTTAGAGCACAATTTAGGAAACAAAATTACGCCATAAAAAATCAACAGACCAAAGATGGTAGGTTATTGAAAAAATCCAGCCTGGATATACCATTGTTGGCAGAAAGAGAGGACGACAAAAAAATGGCAAAGTTATTATCATTAAAACCTATAAGAAGCTGTGAAGAAAATCTGGAGCAAAAGAGGAAACATATTTTAACACAAAGTTCATTACCCACCAGTAACTTTAGTAAGAAAAAGGAAGAAACTGCAATTAAAATAATAAATAGTGGCAAAATTGATTTGGGAATTGCTAGAAAAAATATTAAGAATAATTTACATGCTGCTGATATGAAGAGAAAGTTAGACAATAGTTATGATAGTCAAACACAATTAAAACAAACAAAGACCTCTTTGGTGGCCAATTACAGTTCAAGTAGTAGCGATTGTGATTAAATATATTTATTATAAAAAACTTATTTTATGACCTTAAATACTTGAAACTTTTCCGTTTATTCATATCCTTTCGTTCTCTGATGGCCAAATACTCCATCCTGCTTTGGCTGGTCCTTAAATTCAATATTAAATTGATTTTTTGAACAATTTCTTCAGTCACTTCTTTATCCGCTTCAAAATCGTAATGCTTAAAACTAGATGAAGATTGCAGGGAGGAGGATAAGTTAAAAGAGGCTAAAAATTATGACACAGGTCTAGCAAATGATTATTTTAACTAAAAATGCACTAATACATACAATAATTACTGGAATAAGGATTATTCCTTTCACTGCCAAATCCAGTAGCATACACTATTCTAAAACTCCCTTTACTGCCTCTAGTATCAGTTTCCTCACACCAGGCAATACAATCCATATTATGACTCACTGGTATTTGTTTAACAAAGGGCAGTTTAGAATTTTTGTGTACAATTGGGTCAATTTCAATTTTTTCTCCACTTATTCCAATATGAACTTCGACTTTCCACCACCAGAGCTTGTTAACAATATGAGCCCGGTATAATTTGAATAAGGGCGCTTCCATGGCTTTGTTGTGTCCATCCAATATCATCATGTCTTGTTTCATCTAGATTTTTCACAATAGATAAATAATAAAAGTTTCAATGATAAATATTTACTTGTTTATTTTCCTCTGCTTTTGAAGAGGATGTGGTACGTTTTTTACCACTTTCAGATGATGTTGGGGTTCCTTCAGGTTCTAAACTAATGGCTTTTAGAGGCTCTTTGTGTTCTACCAAACCTGAATAATTCACATGTAGGAATTATTTCAATTAAAAAAAAAAACTATTACCTAAATAAGTGAATCCAAACTTAGCTACACATTCTTTGTTATCCAGACCAGGAAAATCATGATCCACTTCTCCATTGTCTTCAGTCAAATACAAACCATAATAATGTAGAGGCTTTAAAGAATAATCATAGTTGGTGCTGCATTTTAGTAAAATCAAGCCAATCAAGTCTTGAATTTTGGCTGAGGCAACACAGCAAACATTTATAGGATAATTCCTTTGGTCTTCTGGTAGCATGGTCAAAAAAATATTATACTTTCTTGTGGGTATTTTTATTTGGCCCACACCATCGTACCTAGCATAATCGATGAAAGGATTAACAGGCATGTTTACAGTTTCTTTTATGATTTTGGAAAGGCCTGATTTTTTTTCAATTATTGGATCGTGTTTTGTTTGTTTAGCCACAAATAATTCCTGGTCTTTTTGGTCGGAATGGCATTCCCACTTTACATGTTTTATGCGGGCAGCGTTCCTGATCATGTATTCCATTTTCTCCAATCTGGCGGCTGTCATGGATCTTTCTCTTAAATTATACCCTGTATCTAGTTGGATATCATAAGAGCCTAATTAGTAAATATTTCTATGTCACTATTAATTAGTAAGATTTATTGATTCATTGATTTACCTGTATCCTCGTCGTCGTCTTCTTCACTATCCTCAGAGTCTGGGAATGGTTCTTGACTGAAAAATGTGTCTTTGACCTGTTTAGTTTCTGGTTTCATTACAAGTTCGCACATTCCTAGGACGAGAAATTTAAGTTAATTTCTATGCAATGATATAAAAAAATATTATCCGTTCACAATCCGATGTCCACAGGTACAGGTAAAATTTATCACCTTTCAATGCTATGTGATAGGGAAAGGTGATAAATTTACCTGTACCTGTGCACATCGGATTGTGAATAGGATATATGTTTATACCAGTATCGTCTGTGGATATGAAAGAGTTTCTTATGTGGGATAGAAGCCAGTATTTATTATCGTATAAAGCCATTCTAGGTTCACTTTATTTACTACACTACAACACTGTTTTTCGCTTTTTTAGTAAATTAACTAATAATGAATTAAAAAGTGGAGAAATAGTAACATGGTAGTAGTAAATAACCCTTGGTAAATAGATAACAACAACAATCAACAATCCTCTCACTGGCAAATTTAATTATTATTGGAAGACCAAAACACCATATCTTGTATCTTGTTGTTCACATGCTGATGAAAAAGGATGCAAATACACTATTGTGCTAGATGTGCACCGAAGATTCTAACCCCAAATATTTTGATTTGATTCGTTTATTTTTTCTTTGCGGCGAAAACCTTCAACGACCATCTTCAACGATTCTCGATTCCAGGGTTTGTACGACAGGTAAATAATTGAAAATTAAAATAAAAATAACCACAAATCATTAATCCAGAAAGTGTCATTTTTCCGCACGCATTAGTTCAGAAAGTGTCACTTTGCCGCACGCATTAGTTCAGAAAGTGTTACTTTCCCGCACGTAATAGTCAGAAAGTGTCACTTTCCCGCATGTCAATAGAAACATTTTGAAAATTCATCGTTTTAAGACTGAGCTACCTTATAATTTATTTTTGATTGATTTTTCAATTTTTCAATTTTTCTGAGTGCCTTTTTTCATAGATTTCGGCTTCAAATCTGAGAATAATTTAGTCAATGGAGTTTGGGGTATGTTGATTGACCATTAGGATACAAAATCTCGGCAAAAAAAATTTTGAAATTTCATCATTTTAGTAAGAAGGTACCTACCTTATGATTTAGATTTTGGAAAACTTTGAAATATCATAACTTTTTTTCTATTATAGATAGAAAGCTGAATCTTTCACCGAATGTCATCATTTACAAAGGACTACAATCCCTGAAAAATTCAGCTCATTTGCACTTATAGTTCCTGAGATAAAATCGTGTTAAGCAATTTGGGGTGATTTTTCAATTTTTCAATTTTTCTTGGCCGGTACTATTATAAAACACTGAACCTTCGGTTGACTCCATGCAAATTGCTAGAATTCAACCGAAGGTTGAAACTCAACCATATCGGTTCAGTGTTTTATAATACCGTTTCGAAATCTCAGAATAATTTAGTGCATGGAGTTTTTGAAGTTTTTTTGATATGGATATGGACTGGATGGATAATGATGATGAAATGAAAGAGCAAGCGGATGCAGATACGGATGCCAAACTGGATATGCTGCTAAAAATTTGCGATGAAGCCGAAATTATTCCCCCCATTGATCCCAAAGTCCAGAAACTTTGTGAACGTGTTATAGCCTGCTTCTGTAGCGATATACACCTGATCAGTTGCGAGCGATCATTTCAAAGTAATTACGTCTTCAAAACGCCAAACCTGGAGCCGGTAATGTTTGTTGCAATTTGTGGTAAGAACAACTAGAACAATCTACAGGGTCCCAACTAAATATTTCATAGGGATAGGGACAGTATTGCTATCTCGGGAATGGTTAAAGTTACAAGGGCGTTTAAATTGAAAAAAAGTTGCCATTTTTCAAGAATAATAAAAATATATTTTCGTTGTTGCCAAATTTCTATTAGTTACTTTTGAAAATTTGCAAAAACTATTTTATCCAATTTTTTAAAATCTATTGATTTTAGAGACATAGTTTAAATTCAAAAGTATTATATTTTTAACATTCTTCAAAAATGGCAACTTTTCTCTCATTTAAACGCCCTCGTAACTTTCACTGTTCCTGAGATAGTAATCAATGAAATAGTTGGGACCCTGTATATAATAATGATAATGAACAATGGTTACAAACTTCTAAAATAAAATTTATTCCATAAAATACAACGATTGGAATCTGAGGATTGGAATAGTAAGGGTGCGGGTATAAAAAGCTGTTTTTATTCCCAAAACCAACAGCCCACATCAAATTTCAATTCAATCAAGTCATTCTGTAGCTGATAGATAGACAGACTGGACGACTTATTTCTAAAATTTCTATGTTCTGCTATCACTAATAGTTTTTGAATAAATTAAATTCATTAATTTTCACTACTTTAGGCAAATTGAAGACTGTGAAAGAAGCCGGCGAGTTCATCTGGTTCGAGGTTGAAGATAAAACTGGGGCAGTATGGTGTAGAACAGAAACTTTAAAGGATACCGTTGATGAAGAATTTGCAATATTTGCTAAAACTTATAAAGAGATGGCGAAAGATGAAAATAGAGACGAAGTTGCGTGGGAAGAAATGCAGCTCGTCCGTGATATGAAGTTGGGCTCCTTAAGAGCTCGGGAAAAATATACTTCTATTCAAAAAAAAAACTTCAAGTATGTTGAAACCTTTCTCAGAGGTCAAGTTACCTAAAGAGTTTTTTTTTGAAGATGGTTCGACGACAAGTTTCCTTATCTCATTGTTCATGGAAAATTAGCAAAAAAGAAAAAGAATATGTTTCTTTTTGTGAAAAAGGTTTGGATGCCCAAACCCAAGGAAGTGAAGGAATTCAACCAAATGGTGTTGACAGTTAAGTACCACCAGAATGATGCCGGCGAGAATGATCCAACCCAGTCAGTGTGAACAGCTTATCAGAAGAATATTTTTTAAATAAATGCTTGGGGTTTATTACGCAGCAAAAATATATTGTAACAAACAATAAATGAGTACGCATTACAAGTGGCTTTTTGTATGAGCACATTATCAGATCACATGGTACTCAACTTGAGTACTTTTCAGACAAATAATATCTGTTATTGGATTTGGAACCTATTGTCTTTAGACCGTTACGCTAGTGTGCCGGTAAATATTGAGGAAAAGGAAGTGTATAGTGAGGGAGGTGAGTCGCAAAACTTATAGGCATAGAGTATTCTACACATATTATTATAGGCCATCGATGGTTGAATAATTTTACAATTTTTATTGAAGAAAAAAGCTTTTATAGTAGTTAGCAATTTCATTATAATTGATGATTTTCGAGTCAAGTCTTTCACTTATAACTGCGGTAGAGGCATTATCAAATAGGCCGAAAAGTTGGAAAGCATCGACTACAATTTCACAATTTTGGCCACATGAACTCAACACCACATATCGTCATACCTTTTCATGACAGATATAAGGTCAAGTGGATGATGAAGTTTACTTATTTATAAAAAAATTTAATTATCAATGAACAAATAAAATCGTTAATTTACTTATAATAATAATTAATTATCAATCAGGTAGGTGTATCTTATCAACACTAGAAAAATAGCATACAACAAAAACCTGAAAATAAGGATAAATATTCTATAGATGTTTTCGTTTTAAGTACATAGACCCCGTATTCAAAATGGGGGCACTTTTCCGGAGCGAAGAAATGGCTCTGACTCAATTGTTTGTCCAGCCTGAAGCGGCTTATCACATTGTCGCTGAATTGGGAGAGAGTGGGTGTGTCCAGTTCAGAGACGTAAGTTGTTGCTGTGATGGATTTTTGCCAAAAACTTAAGTTTTTTAATTACGTTGCAGTTGAATGAAGAAGCGAGTATGTTTCAACGTGCATATTCCAATGACGTTAAAAGAATCAACGAAATCGAAAGGCAAATTCGATACGTTGAAGGCGAAATTAGAAAAGCCAATTTGAGAATACTTGATCTAAATGAAATGCCAAAGGCGCCACATCCTAGAGAAATTGTAAACCTAGAGGTAAGTTAAAAGCACAATTTTTGTTGAAATATTAAGAAAAAGGTGTTATTTTTCTAGGCCCACCTAGAAAAAACTGAACGGGATATCAGAGAATTGTCTGAGGGCGCCAAGTCTCTAAAAAAAGAATATTATGATGGAGTCCACGAAAAGTACGTCCTTATTAAAGCGCAGTCGTTTTTTTCACAACAAGAAGATGCCTTAAATAGCGAATACACTCCGGACGAGATGAAAAATGCATCTCAACTGGGTATAGATACTAGATACTTATAATATCTACATATACAACAACATTAAGTTGAATATTGTTTTAGGTTTCATCGCTGGTGTGATAAGTAAGGAAAAAATATTCGCCTTTGAACGTCTCTTGTGGAGAATTGGAAGAGGAAATATTTTTTTGCGACAGGCCGACATTGACGAACTGATAGTAGATCCAGATACAGTAAGTAGTGTTTTAATCTAATCACTTTCGACAATAATTCATTTTTAAGGGCGTGGAACATCGAAAAGTTGCTTTCATCGCGTTCTTTCAAGGCGCAAATTTGGCAGGCATAATTCAGAAAATATGCAACGGTTTTAAAGCAACCATTGTGGATATTCCAGTGGCCCCGTCCATCCGCGCTGATCGTATCAAACTTATATCGACACAAGTTGAGGATATTAAGACAGTAATTAATACGACTGAGGACCACAGAACTAGATTGCTAGGTTTATATTTTAATTTATTATAACGAAAAAAGTTTTCTTAGATTTCTATTATCTTTCTTTGCTTGCAAAATAGAAAAAACAAGCTAATAGAAGTTGAGAACATTTTTTTTTCCTTAACAGAAACATTGACAATCACTGAAGGTCACTAAACACCTTTAATTATTATTAATAAGATTTTTTTCCAAAATCATCATGTTCATTCTTATTTCAGTATCTGTTGCCAAAGATATACAACATTGGGATATTATTATATGTAAAATGAAAGCCATTTATAATACTCTAAACCTATTTAGTCACGATGTGAGCAAAAAATGTTTGATTGCTGAAGGGTGGATACCTAAAAACGATCTTCCATTGCTTGAAAAAGCTCTGACAGAAGGTTCGGTAAGTAATACGACATTCCCATTCTTATCAAATAATGTACCTAGTGAAATGTTTATCATAATAATTATAAAAAATGTCTATAACTCTCAGATAGCATGTGGTAGTTCGGTTCCTTCATTTTACAATGTGTTGAGGACAAAAGAAACACCTCCAACGTTTAACAGAACAAATAAGTTTACCGCTGGTTTTCAAAATTTGATATCTTCCTATGCATTTGCTGGTTACCGAGAATTAAATCCAGGTGAGTCGTGCTTGATTGTTTGGATTTTAAAATATTGGACGTGACTATCAAAAACTAAAATAATTTTCATTGTTCCAGCACTATACACAATTATCACATTTCCCTTCTTGTTTGCCATTATGTTTGGAGACGTCGGCCATGCAATAATTATGGTATGCTTTGGAGCCTGGATGGTAATCGCAGAAAAAAAATTAATGGCCCAGAAGAAAAACGAGATATTTGACATTTTTTTTTCGGGAAGGTAGGTAAAAACCTATTTTTTTTGCTGAGAAAATAAATAAATACCTGTTTTATTGTATAGATACATCGTTTTGCTTATGGGTATCTTTTCCATGTACACTGGATTCATTTACAACGACATATTCTCAAAGTCGATGAACATTTTTGGTAGCAAATGGAAAATAGATTACAATGACGCCATACAACATTTCAATGTGAACATGACTGAAACTAACGATGCTTCGCTTAGATTCGAGTTGGTTCCTAGACACAGTTACGCTGGACATCCGTATTTTGCTGGAGTGGATCCCGCATGGCAGGTAAACTTATGCGAATTTTTACCCTGTTGTGGGCACATTTACATAATTGAATTTATAGACTGCTGAAAACAAAATCATATTTTTGAACTCATTCAAGATGAAGCTCTCAATAGTTTTCGGAGTGGTGCATATGATTTTCGGAGTGTGCCTAAGCGTCGTCAATTTCATGTAAGTATATCTACTAAATTAATATCTAATAATTAATCTTTTAATTCTAATCAATTGATGAATATAAAATGTTTTTTAGACATTTTAAGAAAAAAGCTTACATAATTTTGGACTTTTTACCAAAAATTCTTTTCTTTGGATTTTTGTTTGTGTACATGGTCTTTATGATTTTTATGAAATGGACAAATTATACTGCCATGAATGACGACAATGTGGGTAAGCGCTCATAACTTAATACGTTTATTAGGGCGGTAAAGCATTTGTATTTTTTCAAGACACTGCTCATGGATCAAGCTGCGCCCCTAACGTTTTAATTTTCTTTATTGGAATGATGCTATTCAAAAAATCGGAATACGAACCTCCTTGTGAAAAATACATGTTCGGCGGTCAAGAAATGTTGCAACACGTATTGGTGATTCTAGCTTTGGTTTGCATTCCTTGGATGCTTTTGGGTGTTCCACTTTATGAAATGATGAAACGAAAAAAGAATAAAACGCTCTTTACACATCATCAAGTAGGAATTTTGTATTTTTAGAAATATTATAATTGAATATTTAATTGTTTAAGCAAAATGGTGGATACCATGTAGATCTTGAGACCATACCAGAGTCTGAAGCTGTCAGTTCCCATGAAGAAGATGACGATCTTTTCGTACATGCTGCAATACACACCATAGAGTTTACTTTAAGTACAGTCTCACATACCGCATCATATCTTAGGTTGTGGGCCTTATCATTAGCTCACGCACGTAAGTATTTACAACAAAATTATCTTCTAAAATAAATATACATAATTTTTTTAGAATTATCAGACGTATTATGGGATATGGTTTTTAGAAAAGCATTTGTAAAACTATCATACCCATACGTTGGAGGAGTTTCAATTTTTGTGATTTTTTGGGCCTGGTCCACAATCACCGTTGGCATTTTGGTATTGATGGAGGGTCTTTCGGCGTTTCTGCACACGTTGCGTCTTCACTGGGTTGAGTTTATGAGCAAATTTTTCGAGGGACTCGGCTACAACTTCGAACCATTCAGCTTTCAGAGGTTGTTTGAAGAAGAAGCAGAAGAAGCTAAGACAAAACAGTCCTAGCTTCCATAATAACTTACTTATTTAAATAAAAATGAATAATTATATTAAAATCAATGAAATTATATGTGTAATTTTTTTTTTTTTTTAAAGGTATTATAGTAGAGTGCGCCTTATTATTTTGACTTTTGTGGGCGCGTCGGAGTTACTAGCTAAAATTTTCACAGAATGAAGGTTTTATTATGTTAATTCAAAATCCCAAGGTAATACAAAATCAGAACGGGCAAAAGGGCACTACATTTAAAAATTGAGATTATAATTGCATGAATGTAAAGAATAGTAATTTATGACTGTTTTCATTCATTTCGTAATGGTAGATTAATCGAAAATCGAAAAAGCGAGTCAAAACTAGTGGAAAACAACCCTGACATCAATTCCAAATGCCCATTTTAAGCAGAAACAAAAATAAAAAGAAAATCCTATTTTTGACTCTGGAAAATTTTCGAAATCTTGACATGATCATAAACAATTGCCATATTATTGTCAACTACTTAAGTAAATACCACTCTGTACATCAATTTTACTAAAGTCTGTCGACGAGTCAGCATTAATTTGGTATAAATACCGCGCCGAAATCCATTACCGGCAGACTAAGGCTAGTGCAAACTACCTCTAATGGGAAAAGCCCTTCTAGCTAAGTCTCCTTCCAGTGCAAACTACCTTTAATGAGAAACGCCCCTCTGGGAGTATTGAACGCAGCAGACTAGGTCCAGTGCAAACTACCTTTAATGGGAAACGCCCTTCTGGACCTGTCTCAAACATAGTTTCAGTCTTCAGTCACGCCAAGTGTACAAAGGGTACATAATTAATACAGAGTGGCCCTTAATTAAGTAGTATGTCCCTCCGTAGAAGAGACGTCATGATACCTACCATTTCTAGGGTAATAACTATTATTAATCAATACACGCATCTAATTATACCTATACCAAGCGAGTTTCTCTCTACCTGAACCCCACTTACGTCCCCAAGTCACGCTCCTATTGTGACGTCCCAGGACGAAACGTATAGGGGTTGTGACAATATCATTGGTAAATTTTGAGCAAATTGAATTAAATTATACATCATTGGAAAGAGAAATAAATTCTCTATAAATCTATGCAAAATTGCGCTCGATAGTTCGGATAGTTTTTGAGCCATTGAGCCTCAAAGTTGACTTTTAATCCAAATTTTATCAAAAACTTCAAACTCAATTTGCTCAAAAACTATAAATCTGCAAATATCGTAAATTACAGGCCATTTAGAACCTAATTAAGCTATATAGCTATACATTCTGGAAATTTTAATGCAATTTGCTCAACGGTTACCAGGCAATTTAGGTTTGAATATTTTGAAATCAGAATTCGAAGGAGTATCCTTATGAAAAATTCGATTTTTTTATTCTTTAGTTTTGCTTAATTTTGACTGTATGAATCGATAGAGCGGGTCAAAATTAGTGGAAAACAACTCTGATATCGATTCCAAATAGCTATTTTACGCAGACACAAAAATAAGAAGAAAATCCTATTTTTGACTTTGTAAAATTTTCAAAATCCTGACATGGTCATGAACAATCGGCCATTTCTTTGGTAAATTTTGAGCAAATTGAAAGAAATTATACACCATTGGAAAGAGCATTAAATTCTCTATGAATCCGTGTAAAATTGAGTTTGATAGCTCAAATAGTTTTTTAGCAATTGAGCCTCAAAGCTGCCTTTCAGTCCAAATTTTGTCAAAAACTTTAATTTGCTCAAAAATTATAAAACTGAGAATATTGTAAATGACGCACCCACAAAACTGATTTTTAGAAGGCTCTAACTGCGTTGGGCACTCTACTATTATTAAGGCTCATCTGCCATCTCCTGGCTTGGCATACAATAATAGAGGTACCTATTGGTAGGAAACCAAATTTGCATAATAATTAAAATGTGAATCACGAAATGCATTAAGTGCAAATTGATGCCAATGCGATGATGATATGATATTGAATAATATTTTAAATTATGAATAAAACTTTTTCAGTAAACATTGTTAGCATGTCGTGTAGTGGGTCGGTAAGTCTGTTCTAATTAAAGCATACAAATTTAAATTAACAATATACAATTTCAAACCCGCCGCGCACTAAAGTTATCTTCTTTGGTCTTGGTCTATTTTCGATTGTTGTTTTTTTATACCAAATATACCTACATACAGTATAATTTGTGTTTCTGCTTTGTCAAAGGCCAATATATTTCTAGGGCAAACATAACATTATAATATTAGATAGAGAAATCTGAAAGATAACATGTTATCTTTCAACGACTTGTTATTTGCTGGCTTCAAAAATGAGGTATTTTTGTTATTTAGTCTTCAATAATAATTGTTAAGAATGAGAATGAGTCATAGCAGTTAGTTACCTTACCTAACTGTGTTAGTGTTCTAGACTTTAACAAGGTACTTATCTATGAATTTTATTTAAATTTGTCAAACTAATAATTAAGTTAGTCCAGCTGAAAATATGGAATAATATAAATAATATTAATGAATAATGTAACAAAGATTACATTTTTTGAATGTTATGGGCTGCCGATAACTTTTCTCCAGAAAGTTCCAAAGTTGGATTAATGAAAAAAATTATGGAAAATTCTTCCTTAGTAGCAGTATCTTTGGTAAAACTAAATAATAATTTTTTTTTTTTTAGATGATTTTGCTTGTAACTTTCCTAATTATTCTAATAATAATCTCGTATACCAAGAAACGATTTTTCTATGTGCTGTATAAAACACTTCCAAGGGATTTAAAGTGAGCCACACAATACATGTATTAGGTAGGTAGGTCCATTAAAAATTATAATGGTTTTTTTTAGAGCTGGTTACCGGTTAAGTAGGTTATATCTACAATTATATATTTGGAGCAGAGCCAAAGAGAACGTGCCAAAAATCTTTAGCAAGTTAGCTAAGCGACATCCTCAGAAAATAGCCTATTATTTTGAAGAACAAGAATGGACTTATGAAATGGTTGTAATGTTAAAAAATATGCATCGCGCAGACTTTTTAATGTATATTTTCTTCAGTTAGATAACTTCAGTAACAGATTAGCAAATTATTTCAAGAGCATAGGATACAAAAAAGGTGATTCCGTGGCGCTGTTACTGGAAAACAGACCAGAATACTTGGGAATATGGTTGGGATTATCAAAAATTGGCGTGATTGCAGCTCTAATAAATACCAATCTTGTTTCTGATAGCTTGGTGCATTCCATTTTCGCTTCTAAAAACAAAGGACTCATATTTGGAAGCAGTTTTTCAGAAAGTAAGCGATTTTTTTTATAAATATGCATATTTTTCATCCCCAACATGTATGTACATACCTCTACAACAAACTACTTATGGAAATTCTTATTTTTCTCCGGCAGTAAATTAAAAGCTTTTTCATGGTTGTTATTTGGACTTATAGTTCCAGAAATAAAATCGTGTTAAGCAATTTGAGGTGATTTATCAATTTTTCAATTTTCCTAAGTGCCTTTTTTCATAAAATCTGACTCCATCCCAAGGGACTATTGGACACAAAATCTCAACAACAAAAATACCTCATGATTTAGATTTTGGAAAACTTTGGAAGGTCATAACTTTTTTTCTATCAAAGGTAGAAAGCTGAAATTTGTAGCGATTCTTATCCCAGTAGAGGACTACAACCCCTAAAAAGTTCAGCTTATTTGCACTGAGATAAAATCGTGTTGAGCAATTTGGGGTGATTTATCAATTTTTCAATTTTTCTGAGTGCCTTTTTTCATAGATTTCGGCTTCAAATCTGAGAGTAATTTAGTGTATGGAGTTTAGAGGATGTTAATTGACCATTAGGATACAAAATCTCAACAACACAAAAATTGAAATTTCATCGTTTTAGTAATAAGGTAGCTTACCTTATGATTTAGATTTTGGAAAACTTTCAAAGGTCATATCTTTTTTTCTATTATAGATAGAAAGCTGAATCTTTCACTGAATGTCATCATTTTCAAAGGATTACATACAATCCCTGAAAAATTCAGCTCATTTGCATTTATAATTCCAGAAATAAAATCGTGTTAAGCAATTTGGGGTGATTTGTCCCTTACCGATTTTCTTTAGGTAGGTACTTATTTTTCTCCCTTTAGTTACCTATTTATTCACCATATAGCGTTGTCCTTGATTATTCGAATTTAATGTTTGATTAGCATAAGTTTGGCTGTAACAATAAATTGTATTAATTTTCAGTAATAAGGCAGATAAGTGAAGAAATAAGAACAATAAACTTATACGAGTTCAAAGATGATGATAATATACAGAAATTATACAATGCAAGAGCAATCGACTTGAAGCAAAAACTGCAAGAATCATTGTGCATAGTGCCACCTGAATTATCCGAGACAGAAACTCAAGATAGCCTCCTTTACATTTATACTTCCGGAACTACAGGTTTACCAAAAGCTGCCATCATTCGACACAGCAGGTGAACTATTTAGTCGTCATTGTTTGTGCATTACTATTATAATATGTTTTAGATACATGCTAGCTTCGGGAGCGCTATTTTATCTGACTGGCCTCAATCGAGAAACAGACATACTCTATAATGCGCTGCCTTTATATCATAGCGCAGGTGGTATGCTGGCTGCAGGAGTGAGCTTACTTTTTGGCACACCGGTTGTACTCAAGAGAAAGTTTTCGGCGAGTAACTTTTGGATGGATTGCGAAAAGTATAATTGTACAGTTGCCATTTATATCGGAGAAATATGCAGATACCTTTTGGCAGCTCACAAACCCGATATGAAGCTCAACCATAAAGTAAAGAAAGTCTGTGGTAATGGTTTAAAACCTCAAATTTGGCAACAATTCAAAAACACATTCGGGATTGAAGAAATTTACGAATTTTATGGGGCTACAGAGGGAAATGCGCAAATGGGTAAGTTGAACTAAATCCATAAAATAATAAAACCTACGCTTATTTTTAGTTAATATAGATGGCAGAGTTGGGGCTGTTGGATTTGTTCCAGTATTAGGTAGATGGATAATGGGCCCAATAATCATACAGTGCGATGAAAATACTGGCGAACCTATTAGAACCAAAGGAGGTACCTATAATATTGATAATGTGTGTTGAAATTTCAAATTCCAATTCTCTAGGATTATGTAAAAGATGTAAAGTTGGAGAACCAGGACTCTTGGTGGGGAAAATCAATCAAAAGCAGCTAATCAAAGCGTTTGTGGGATATGCTGATAGCCAGGCCACAAAAACGAAAATTTTGCAAAATATTCTGGTTGAAGGAGACGCTTATTTCAATACAGGAGATATTCTAGTCGAAGACGAGCTAGGATATTTGTACTTTCGGGATCGTACCGGAGATACTTTCAGGTATCAAGTCAATTTGATTATGTATTCCATAGATATGATTGATCCATTTTCCAGATGGAAAGGAGAAAATGTGGCCACTTGCGAAGTCGAAGCCATCATTAGTAACTTTACAGGATACAATGACGCTATCGTTTATGGCGTTGAGGTATAATACTTTCAATGTAGAATGTATAATTTAATTTTTACATCATTTTAGGTTCCAGGTTCCGATGGCAAAGCAGGAATGGCAGCCATAGTAGACCCTGAAGACAAGTTGAATATAAAAGAATTGGCACAAGGCTTAAAATCAAAATTGCCTAGTTACGCAGTTCCAGTTTTTGTACGAGTGGTTAAGTCTGTGCCACTAACGGGTACATTCAAATTGAAAAAGGTCGGCTTACAAAAGGAAGGCTTCAATGTACACAAAATTGAAGATGGATCTCTTTATGTGTTGTATGCAAAAAACTCAGAATATCAACCATTGACATCTAATATCTACAGTGATATTGTTAATGGTGAAATGAGGTTGTGATTTGGCAATAAACGTTTTTTTTTTTCAATACACAAAGGCAAAGATTTGCAGAAAAAATAGATCATCAATTTTATTTAATAAGTATCATAAGGTTTGACTCCATATCGATCATACAATGACCTCCAGAAGACATATTTATTTTTGGGGCCGTATTTGACGGTCAAGTCAGTTGCAATATCAACATATGGTGCATTATTTTCTTGAAATTTTGGCCAAGTGATGTACTGTAACTCAGCGTCTTGAAAGGGTGTGGGATTCCTATATGAAACATTAATTAGTAAAACACATTTGCATGATTTCCATACTCACTGATATGTAATAAAGTTTGTCCATATTTTCATAAATCTCTGATGTACCTTCTGATCGGCCACTGGATAGTTTGCTGGGTTGGACCTTTGCCAGATGTAGTTGCCCTCCTCTGTGTGGGTTACGTTGCTCGTGCCTGATGAAGAAAAATGTAGGTATGTGTATTATTTGAAAAAAAAGTGTATTATTTGAAAAAAAAAAAATCTGTTCTGGAAATATTACCTAGAAACCTGTATTGTGTATTTCCACCCATTTGGCCGGAATATGAAAAAACATAGAAATAAATGTCGGTGTATTTGGATTGCATTTCGGCGTGTTTTATTAAAGATTTTTGAAAATCTTGATCTGTAAAATACTGAAAAGTGCACCATAAAATATTATTTTTTATGTAAATATATAGGTACAATTTTTAATCATACTTGAATTCCTGACAAAAGATTGTTTTCCATTTGACCATTAGGAGAGTACTCTTGTTTAATAGCCTGACCAACCAGTTGTTTTGTATTTTCGTCTGTAATATGCATATTTTGAGGCACTAAGTAGCTGGGATTTTGGTCATAAACGGATAGTGTCCATTGCAAATATTCTATTGAAAAATTAAACTTTTTAATAATAAGGCCATGATATTATTCTTCACTGACCATTATAATTCATTAAGCCTTCTTCAGCACAGGTACCAATCAAAGTGGGTACTTTATTAAAATTTCCATTGGCCAGAATTTCGTAGGGGTCTTCACTGAGAAAAGCATCAGGGTTGGCTGCTTCGACCACTGGAGCGTAAAAGAAACCTTGTTGAAGTTGACCGTTGATGATACCATTGAATCCTGTCTCAGAATAGGATTGAGCCTATTTTAATTAAAAAATGAATTAAATTGTTCAATTTAGGAAAAAATAAACTAATAAATACCCAATCGGAATAACTTTTAGAAGCTTTATCGATATCTTTGGCATTAGCTGTTTTCAAATAAGTCCATAATGATCGAGAATCTCTGTTGTAATCAAATTGAGAATTAAGAAAACTAGCTGTTTTATAGGTGATTTCAGTTTGATTTCTTTGGAAGGCCCACGGACATAGAGGGGTGCCGGATGATAAAATAGCGCCTCTAAATAAACCTATTGAGAAAAAGCAGATTTAATTTGAAATTCATTTTTACTTGTTGAACTTACCAGCAGAGGAAGGGCTTAAAATTTGATATCCAACCGATGCTCCTCCAGCAGATTCGCCAAAAATGGTAACTTTGGTTGGATCACCACCAAAAGAAGCAATATTTTTTTGCACCCATTTTAGTGCCAAGCGTTGATCTTTGAGTCCAGCATTTCCTGGGATAACACTATCGCCAGTTGAGAAGAAACCTTAATAAAATAGGTGTGTGTTCTATACATACATATTATTTAAAAGCATCAACAAGACTTTGCTGTTACTGGTAAATGTGAGAGAGAGAAATTGGATCATAATGGATATCGCGCAAGAAACAAAAAGAGAAAATAGAGCTAATACATTTATCAATAATGGTAGGTATTTCGATTGATAATGCAGGTTGGAATAGTAAGTTAAGTTATTTTGAAGGTTTTCATTTTTGTTTTCGAATCTGACTCTAGTAGTAACTTAAAAAAATCACGAGCTTTCATATTCAAGGAACAACCAAACCAGCGGCCATACCTCAGTGTCAGATACAGTGGGGGAGCAGGGAGGCACCTGTGAAGGTAAAGGCTGTAGGTGGGTATCAATATATAAAAAAACACCCTGTACAAATAAGTGGATTATTGCGGAACTTATGGGTGGACCACTGCGGGACGAGCGCAGCGAGTTCCGCAGCCATCTACTTACCAATATACTGTTGAACTGTTCAAATAATAGACACTCACCTAAAACGTGTAGTTTTTGAACTAATGAGAAAAATTCACAACTGAGTAAATCAGGTTAGTATTGTATATACTTGAACAACATATTGGTGAATAGATGACTAGGTCCACCGCAACAATCCACTCTTTTGTACTTGAATAGCTTTGTCACAATAAATTACTACCTAGTTTGGAAAAGTAACATTACTAATTCCTGTTAAAAGGCCAATTGACAAAAAGTGAATAATCCTACAAGTTTGACTTTATATAAGTTATTGTTAAAGTACAAATAAGGTGATTGTTGCGGAACTTATGGGTGGACCTCTGCGGGACGAGCGCAGCGAGTTCCGCAGCCATCTACTTACCAATATACTGTTGAACTGTTCAAATAAGACACTCACCTGAAACGTGTAGTTTTTGAACTAATGAGAAAAATATTCACAACAGAGTAAATCAGGTTAGTATTGTACTTGAACAATATATTCGTGAATAGATGGCTAGGTCCACCGTACAATATATTATTGAACTGTTCAAGTAAGAGTAATACATTCACCTGAAATACTTAATTTTTAAACCTATGAGAATAACGCACATTTGAGTGAATCAGTTTCGTATCGTAATTAAACAATATAGGTACTGATGAATATAGATGGCTACGGAACTCGCTGCGCTCGTCTCGCAGAGGTCCACCCATAAGTTCCGCAACAATCACCTTATTCTCTTAAATAGTTCCCCCATTCCCATATTTTTATGGGCCATTCCTTCGAAAAACCGTATCTTGTCATCAATGCGCTACCTAAACTAACCCAATCTGGCTTACTTTAACTTAAACTGCCCCCCCCCCCCCTTTTCAAAAGACCTGTATCTGCCCCTGCCATACGCGAGAGAGACAGCACAACTATTTAAAAACTATGCCTATTATATTTATTCTCAAGGAAATATATTGCTTACCAAATGGTCCCAATCGATAATTGATGCTAACCAGAACCACATCGGTCCTGTCCATAAAATATTCTGGTTCAATGCCGCCAGTTTTTCCTTTGGTCTGACCAGAACCCCAATTAAAACCACCCCCGTGTATATAAAATAGAACTGGCAATTTTGTAGTGATTTGACTTGGGTTCTAAAATGTAGATTATTAGGTACATACTATCTGGAAGAGAATGCGGCACATCGCAATACATAGAATTCTTTTGAAATCTCGTTAAGATTTTTGTTTGAAGTAGACACCTAAAAACTTTTTAAGCGCTACTCTTTCAGTTTAGTTTTATGATGGTTTTAAAGGTTTCACTAAACGATATTACGACTGCACATTTCTAAATCAATAATTCATTCCTACCTTAGGGGTGTAAACATTGATAGTAAGACAGTCTTCATTTTCATCGTTATAATCGTAATTAACTTGATAGCAAATGTTCCCTTCAGTTGTAGCATCGCGTACTCCATTCCATGATTGTACTGCTACAGGTGCCTAAGAAAAACAAAAAATGTTGGAAATTTGTGTAAACGCTATGTTTGTATCATATCCACAGGAAATGGAGCGGCAAAGTAGCGAAGCAGAACTTGAACGATTGAAAATTACTGCACATTTCAAAAGGCAACTTTTTTCAAATTTACCTGGAACCGTAATGATCCCGTTGGAGGTTTGGCATACGGAATAGAATAGAAGGCGTAGTAGGATTTTCCAGCGTAAGACCATTTTTGAGTTCCCTTCAGTTGTCCGTCGGAAATTGTTAAAGTTAAATCATCAGCCTAGAGACGGTATTAATAATTTAATTTTATTCGCTCAAAGCCCATTTACCTTACCCAGCATAGTGAAATCACGGCGAAAAACAATATTGGGACCATTCGAAACTTCATGATGGTGTTCACAAAATTTAGAATACAATAATTTTCTGTTAGGTTGAGCTTCTCATAGTTCTCATAGGTACCTATTTATCTTTGAGATTTTTTCAATTGTTTAATCAAGTGTAAGTGTTTTGTTTTTTGTTTTGCAATATAAGGCAATATGGGTCTGAAATACCTATAAGTATGTAGTTGGGCAATTTGGTTCATAAATAATTACGCACATTAATCAAAAATTAATAATAATACATAATAACGCGTGAACTTTTGTTATTGGTGTGGGTGCCCTTAACTGATTTTGGAGCATCCTATAATTATCATGAAAAACAGACTCTACATCTCTCCCTCCCTAGTTTGGAATTCGTCTTGTTTTGGAAAATACTTATTCATAGATTGGCTATATCCTCCTTGTGGAATCGAACTTTTATAAATAAGTGCGTAGGTTCTGATTAGCATCGGAAGCTATAGATACACTTTATTAATTACTAATGAAAGAATACCATCGCTCTACAAAGAAATATTTATTTATTTTAATTTTACAGAAAATTCACAATGAATGTTAATAATAATTTATGGACATAAATAAATAAATAATATGTGCAATATACATAGATATTATCGCCCCTGTAGAGCAAGAAGGGGCCATGTGCTAAATACAAGATTATTGAAAAAACCAAGAAAACCTCGAATAAAACTATAATTTTGAAAATTATAATTTATTTGCAATTATTTGTACTTTTTCTGTCTATATGATATGAAAATGTTATGGCGGTTATCTCAAAAATGGTTCCGCTTCTTCCCTTTTTGCTCTGCAGAGGCGATAGGTATTACCTGTGTAATTTCTTGCGGTAGGTATTTTATTTTTGAAATAAAATACATACCTACATGAAAACGAAATTAATTATCATTAATTTATTTCTTAAGATTTTTCCGAATTCAAAAGGGCTCATTTTCATTCGGAAAAATCCTAAGACCTATACAGCCTATCATGTCTGCTACTATCAGTTATTTACAATGAACCTAGTCAAAAATGTACCTACAGATCAAGGTCAGTCTTAGAAAAAAAATCTAAATAGGTAATAAGAAAATGCATACACTACCTAAATCATATTTAAAATAGGTAGGTACTGCTAAAGTACCAAAGAACAACGCTGGTAAAATAATTTACTTAAAATTTATATTAGTTTGTCAAGTTTAACTGATACCAGGTACTCCTAGCAACTTCTTAAACGCTCTCCTAAAATCCATATTAAATATCGTATAAATAATAGGATTTAACATTGAATTGATGTACCCTAACCATGTGATAAAATTAACCAGTCTTCTAGTAGGGCAACACTCAGGACAAAATGGCACTATAACGTACATAAGGAAAAAGGGCAGCCAACACACCACAAACACTCCCATGATGATTCCCAATGTCCTCGCTGCCCTTCTTTCTTTCGATAAACTGATTCGCTGTTTTTCTTCGATAAATTGATGGATGCCGCTCATTTTCTTTTGCGGATTAATCGCACGATTTTTGCTCTTTGAGTTGATTGTGGCATACCGAGAATTACTAGAGGTATTTTTTAACTGGGCCAATGGTGCAGACGGATCTTTGGAAGTTCCACCGTTACGTTGGGAGCAGGGCGAGTTTTCACCTAAATAAAAAAATAGAAATTTCGAAATTCAAGTTTATTTTCACCCTAAAGAATTTGAAAGTTGAAGAGAGAGAGAGAGAGAGAGGCCATAAGGTGCTTAGTTTTAAAAACATTGGAAGGGATTTCTATGTTTTTCCAGAGAGAAACCATGAAAGTTCAGCATATGAGTAATAAGTATGTAGGTAGGTGCGTTATAAGTTAAGAAAGGATATTGTTCGAAACTGAAATTCTTTTCACAAAGAAAATTAATTTCTTACCCAAATCAGTCACCGAATCCTCATCCACCAGAATCGGTTTCAGCTGCCCCATTTCATAATTTTCTTGCTTGCCCTTCTCTTTTCTGAAGTTCATTTCTATATTATGGTTAGTTTCAATACTGCTCACGCTTTCTCTATCCACTTCATTAGCTGCATCGGCTTTTCTTCTTTTGAAGATGGCATTAATTTTTGAAGCTTTGGCTCGTTCTCGCAATCTTCGTCTTGTCGCAATAAAAATTTGTATGTAGACTATCGTCATGATGATCAGCGGTATGTAGAAGGATCCGGAGGATGAATAGATTACGTAACCCTGAAAATTATTTTTTGTCAACTTGCTTATTGATTTGTGTTGCAGCCGCAATAGGTTAAACAAAATACATAGCTAAAACTCGTAACTCACTTGTCTCGAAGACAACCTGCATTTTTTTTTCGCCAAAAAGGCACCCGTATCCGGCCAATCGTTCCAACCAATTAAGGGAGGAGATGATATCAGTAACGACAAAAGCCATACTGCCACTATCATAAGAAGTACCCTTTTGATTGTCCTTTTTTGGGCATATTTTATCGGATCGGTAATAGCCCGAAATCTGTCCAATGCGATCGCGCACAAATTCAAAATGGAAGCGGTGCAACACAAAATGTCTGACGTCAGCCACATTTTACACAAATGGATTCCGAACGCCCATTGTCCCAATATGCTATATACGACATTTAAAGGTAATACCAAGACGGCTACAGTCAAATCAGCTACCGCTAATGACACTATAAAAAAGTTGGGCACTATACGAAGTGGTTTGTAAGTGAACACTCCCAAAATTACCAAAATATTGCCGATGATGGTGATGAGAATGCAAAAGCCTAGAGTGATGATGGTGAGGAAGGCTTCCCATTCTGGAACGTCCAAAACTCCTAGGGTGGTTGAATAATTACCAGGGGGCAAGTTACAGCTCTGGTTATCGGAGGCCGACATGGTTCATTTTTAACCTTTTGTACCATCAAGAGAATCAGTAGATAATAAAACATTCGGATAGTTGATGCATTCTGAAAAGAAGAGCGTCTGAATTTAAACATGTTTTTTTTTTTCTTCTTCTAGTTTTTGATCTCTTTCAACCTACCTTGTTTCAGGTCTGGACACTACATCTCCTCCTCATTTAGACGGACAGTCCTGCAAAAAACAGGAGAAAATAATAATTGAAAAACAGAATAATATAGTCGAGCTTATATGAATAAATAATATTGTAGTTCAGTTTGCCAGGACGAAGAAAAATATAAACCAAGCCTAATATAGACATCGCTGATATGTACTTGAAATTAAAGTAGGTATCAAATTTTAAAAAATTGGTGCTGCTACCTACAAAGTTTGATAACCGATTGTTTGATCGATTTAGTCGATTAACATTTCCTGTAATTTTGTGTGGGCGCTCGCCTCTCGTGTATTTTTTCCAGACAACAGCGAAACTTACATATTTGTTTCAATCTTATTGATTGATGTATAAGGTAGCATAGAAATTCTAAGAAAGAGTTTCCATAATTCTACAATTCATGGGTTTTAACATACCCATCACGATATATCCAATGGCTGTAGCTATCGAATCAAATAAAGAGTATGGACAGATTGAGTGAAAAATGAAACTGCGAGAAGTCGGTACCTAAGAAAAATATAATAGCAGTAATTAGCTATAATTAACATTTCCTTAACAATGACGTAATGTCCATCATGTTAAGTTCCAGAATAAGACATTTTATTTGTTTATCCAATATTATATTGCCTACACTTTTCAGCATAAATATTGCCAGAGTTTATCGCCATTCAACAAATTTAGGAATATTGAAATTTAAATAAATATTTATATATCCCTGAAGTAATCGAAATATTTAATATGTATTTATTTCTAGCCGAATTAATGTAATAGTGAACAAAAAAAGGCAGGAATATAAAATTATGTACCTATATGAAAGTTAATTTTAGACTGGTAATATAGATAAACAGAAATGAAGAAATCAGGAACTTATTCATTACCTACCAGCGTACCAGGCCCAGAATCTATATAAGCGTTTTATAAGGTAGGTAAACTACCAACTTTTGACTTGCTTGCTTAAACCCTCACCTAAAGGATCACTCAAGTTTTTCAAAAACAAAAGAACTTCTTTTCCTAATTTAGTGACGTGAGACCGTTGTAGTCCAGTTAATGTACGCCGCCACAGAATTATTTTATGACGTCAATTTAAGGAATCTATCATTGTTCTTTTTAATAGAAGTAGATTCATAACCAGAAAATTTTAATTAGGTGATAAGCAAAAGCCACCTTTTTGCATTACTTTACTTTAATTTTTCAGTTAAAAAATCGAATTGGTTATCTTTTGGTATTATTAGAGTGCTTTTTTGATAATCTAATCACCTAAAGTTGTTTTTTGAAAATTGGCTTCTTTTAATCATGATCTTGGTGCGGATTAGACCTAAATTTATACAAGGTGTCACAGGATGAAACGCATTTTCTGAATTTCGCAACTTTCAAGAACGGGTTGGAAATGTGTGTCTGCGATCTGACATTCTTTTCCATCCTTAATTGAAAACTGCACTTATTATCGAGTACTTCATTTAGCTGTAAATAAAAAATGTTATGCTTCTTACGTGAAAAATATGCGTCTCCTCTGCGCCACCTTCATCTGTACAGGGTGTTTTTTTATATTATATTGACACCCTACCTACAGCTTTTACCTTTACAGGTAAAAGGAAGGTGTAAATACAAAAGTTGTACAGTTTTGGCTAAATTTTCAAAAACCATGGTCAGAAACAAAATTTTAATGTCAAAAATGTACAATTTTCCATGCTTCCCAGCTTTTTTCAAATGGGATGTCCTATATTTCATTCTATATTCTTGAAGAGCACAATGCCCCGATTCCAAAAATATATAGTTTGTCTATATTTGATTGAACCATTGAACCAGTCTCTCATATATTCGGCTCTAAAAATTATAAAAATACTACTGATTTTGTAAACCATTCTACCTGTAAATGGGAAATCCGCAGGTAAAATTTGAGGTAAGTACCTACACTACCTACTTGGTTTCTCTGATGATAGTATCTTAAAATTTTTAGAAACAAATATGGAGACGGGTCAACGAAATATATAAAAACTACATATATAGTTTTGGAATCGGGAAATTGTACTCTTCAAGAATATAAAACCGAATATTGGGCATCCCATTTGAAAAAAACTGAAAGCATGCAACATTTCACATTTCTGATATTCAATTTTTGTTTCTGATCATGGATTCTAAAAATTTAGCCAATAACTGTACAACTTTTGTATTCACACCTTTCATCTATTTGTAAAGGTAAAGGCTGTAGGTGAGGTGTCAATACTTAAAAAAACAACCTGTACTTGAACAATAACTTATTATATAAAGTCAGAATTTGAAAGATTATCCACTTTTTGTCAATTAGCCTTTTGACAGGAATTAGTAATGTTACTTTACCAAACTAACATAATGTGACAAGTTATTCAAGTACAAACAAGTGGATTGTTGTGGATCTTATGGGTGGACCTCTGCGGGACGAGCGTAGCGAGTTCCGCAGTTATCTATTCAATATTACATTGTTCAAGTACGATACAAACCTGACTCACTCAAATGTCAATTATTCTCATTAGTTCAAAAACTACACTTTTCAGGTGACTGTCTTACTTGAATAGTTCAACAGTATAATAGGTCACTAGATGGCTGCGGAACTCGCTGCGCTCGTCCCGCAGAGGTCCACCCATAAGTTCCGCAATAATCCACTTATTTATACAGGGTGTTTTTTTATACACCTATACAGCCTTTACCTTCACAGGTAGAAAAAAGGTGTAAATACAAAAGTTGTACAGTTTAGGCTGAATTTTTAAAAACCATGGTCATTGGTCAGAAACAAAATTTGAATGTCAGAAATGTGAAATTTTGCATGCTTCCAGCTTTTTTCAAATGGGATGTCCTATTTCATTCTATATTCTTGAAGAGCATAATAAAGTATATATTTCAAACGGCTCTTATGACCACAGACGGACCTTAATCAAAAAAATCTTTAGATAAACATTATAGATCAAATAATGTTGCACATCTTTCATTTGAAACATTTTTTTGTAAAATCAATAGGTTTTACCAAGTAATCGCCAATGGCGCACTTTCAACCCCTATAGCGCAAAACGCCAGAGGGGTGAATGTTTGATATTTTCGGTTTTATGATCACTCACCCGCCTCCTATCATCCCTGAAAAGTTCATTTAAGTAGGATTTTTTTTTTGTGATGCATGTATTATTCGACAATTTTCCTAGACTACTTATATTTAAGTAAACAATTTGATCAGTGTATTATTTCCTAATTTTCCTACCTACTGATAGTCCTGTTTTCTGTTATCTTATATCTTATCGGCATAAATGATATAGGTTATTACCTCTACATAGAAAGGTGAAAATGAAACAACCTAGATTTTGTGAAATTTTATGGGTAAAACCTATACCTATACCTATGGTATGGAACCTATGTAGGTACCTATTTTATAAATTCCGGTGAATCAGTTTAATCAATATATAGGGTGTCCCAGAATATGTGGGCAATCTCTCGGATTCAGATAGAACACAAAAAAATAACATGACAACTTCCTATAAAAAAAAATTCCTACGCCCCCCCCTACAAAGTTACGTGCCCCTAAAGGACGCCTCTGAAAATCGGTTTTTTGTTGATAACTTTCAAAATACTTCGTGTAATTTGTTTTTCTTTTAATATGATGGATACTAGGTAAGACCCCCTAAAATGGACCCTCTCAAACATACTTGACCAATCTAGTTTGCCAGGGACGGACTAGCTTTAACGCAATAGTAAAACTGAGGAAATATTAGTAGAAAGGATTAATTTCTCGATTAATTTTCACTTTCGCGAAATAAGGACTAATATTGAAGCATTGTCGAGAGTCGGACATTTTTTTATTAAAATAGGTATGGAATGCATAAGATTAGAAGGATCTCATGTTGAGTCTACATAAAAAATTATTTAATAAAAAACCATTACTTAAATACACAAAAACAGATTTTTCTTGAAACCAGCTCATTTTTTTGACATCGAATAAGAGTACCTTTTTTCTAGTTCAAGGTTGAAACAATCTAAAAATATTATTGCTATGCCTATATCATACAGGGTGTAAAAAAAATTAGCATTATTGTGTTAGAGCTAGTCCGTCCCTGGCAAACTAGATTGGCCAAGTGTGTTTGAAAGGGTCCATTTTAAGAGGTCTTATCTAGTATCCATCATATTAAAAGAAAAACAAATTACACGAAGTACCTATTTTGAAAGTTAATCAACAAAAAACCGATTTTCAGAGGCGTCCTTTAGGGGCACGTAACTTTGTAGGGGGGGCCGTAGGAATTTTTTTTTATAGGAAGTTGTCATGTTATTTTTTTGTGTTCTATCTGAATCCGAGAGATTGCCCACATATTCTGGGACACCCTGTACATTATTCAAATGAAGATTTGAAGGTACCTATGAAAATTGTGTTGATAAAATCTACCTAATCCTTATTATTAGCTTAAGATATTGTTTACACACGTTCGTGCGCTAATTTGTGGGTTGACGAAATTCGAATTAAGGCCTCCTGGCGTAATCGGCCCACCTAAAAATAGTCCCTCTATACTTAGGCGATTATTTTCGCGATCCAGAAATCCAGAGCGATTAAGATAACGGCTTATTCGCGGTGCGACGTTTTAACGACGCGTCGTAAAATTAGCACCTCGTATCAATAATGTAATTTACGACCACTATTTGGTTATCTGATACACGATACACACACTTTCAGTTTCTTGGTTCGTACAAACTATATTCGTAGCCAATAGCCAATAATAGATGATTGAGATTGAACTCTCTTCGAGATAAAATAATAATACGTGTATACTTTATTTTTTCCCAAGATAGATTTTGGCATTGTCAACTTTGAAACATAAACAATTCCGCTAATGCTGGTTATTGGTCGCTATTGTAAAACTGATGTCAACCTGCAGAAACACCTCGTTTTGCGACCAATCAGGGTCAAGCGTTATTGTTTATGTTTCAAAGTTTTCAATGTCAAAATCTATCTTGGGAAAAAATAAAGTGTAGGTATATTTGTCTAATTTCGAACTACCCAACAATAATATTTACAAATAGTAGAAAGCCATGTTCAGGGATTTTCGACATTAATTTAAGTGAGAACATTTTTTGGAGTGCTTTGATCCTGAACAGAAGCTGTTTTGCGCCGCCAAAATAATTTAGATATTTCAGAGTTTAAAATCTTTGATTTTCCTTCTCTGACAGGAACAAGTCAATTAAGGGGTTTAAAGAAAACACATTTCTCTGCATACCTATAATAATTATTGCTCACAAAAACCATAATAAGTATACCTACATAACATTATACCTATTTGTAGTTAGGTACCTACATATGCATATGGTAAAAAAGTATATGGTATAAATATAATTCCCATTTATTTGTATTTGTATTGTTTTCCGTCATATAGTTTATTTGTCCTATTTTATTATTTTTTTTAAATCCTACCTTAATTTCCAAATTTCTGTTGCCGAAATAGTTATCGCACATCAAAGAATCAATTTCGTTTTCCAAATATCTAACAGTTATTTTATTTGCATACATTTGCACTATTTCTGCTGCCTCAAAAAATGATAATACTCCCTTATCTAACGAAAGTTTCGTGTGTAAGTTTTGGCGTTCCTTATAGCATAGATCTACTCGGCAGAATAGGAACAGCGATAAAAAAGCACTGAAACTGAACTGAACCATTCACTATTTTCGTTAAAATTGTCGGAAAAGTTTCTCTGTGGCTCGCGAGGCGTGCGAGCGCGAAATTTTCAACTGAGTATATGCGCAATCGAATCTAGCAGAATACAGAATACTGCGGTTTGAATTGAGTTAATGAATTTAATTTACTATTTCTGTCGTTAGCTATTGGGAACATTGACAGTCTATTTACCAAGTAAAAGGAAAACTTTCGACGAAGCTTAATTTTTCATTAAAATTGAAAAAGTTTTAGATGCAGCATACTTGTATCCTAATCTAACGCAACGGAAGATCAAAACGACGGAATTAGTTGGAAATTTTCCCTAGATAACTTTGCGGGAATACAATTTCGAAATTGTGGCCAATTTGAATAATTCGATCATAAATATTCTTCGTGCGGATTAAAATTTGTATCAATGTTTTATTAAGGTATGGTGGATTGCCGAATCACCAGAGCGAGCGTTTTCAGTAGGCACTGACAATAGAGTGACGACATAAATTTATCTGCTTCTGCTATGGTATAGAAAAGCGCCCGACTCTCGACTATAAATATGTGTCTGTCTGCTTATGGCCGTTGGTATTACGAGAGTGTAAAACACGGCTAACAGGAACACTAACTATACTAGAGAATCTCAGTTTAAACAACAGGAAATAGACGCATGAATGAACTAATTTATTAATACCAATATCTCAGTTTTCACTATCATGATTGGTATACACCAGCGAGGTATACACAAAATAGTGAATTAATAGGTCTGTTTCTGCAGAAATGAAAAACTAGAGTCAATTTCATTGGTTGAAACTATTTAGTTTTCAACCAATGAAATTTGCTCTGACTAGTTTGTGATTTCTACAGAAACACCTAATAAGTCTAGGCTACTGTTATTAAAACAGTCCTCTATCTTCCTAGTTAGGATACACACACACAGTTGATCTTTAGGTATAGGTACTTGTATTTTATTTATTTGTTTCATACCGGTAAGCTCTTTATTTCTTATAAAAAAAAATAGCATGGAATCTTTCCAGTCACATGCCTGTCAAAATTTAACGACGAAAAAGATGACAAAAACGAACTCGATTCCAGAAAAGAACAAATAGATGAGGTGGCTTGGGAAAAAAAAACTACTACATAAAATTTAATTTGCTGTTTTATATACAAATGAAATGAAATTATTGTATGAAGTATAAACACTATGAACCATTTCCATTATAACAATAATTAATAGGTAATTTCAGAATTTTAATTCTAAAATTTAAGATGAGGTTTATGTTGCATAATATGCCTGAAAAGAAGAAAAATATTAGTTTGCATGATAGTATTCTCAAAAATTTTCTTCTTACTTGTCCAATTTCTCCCAGAAAACCATCAATTGGGCCCTGTCCAAGTGCCGTTTGGTCCGACTCAGTTGAATCACAGTCACGTTCCATTTTTCCACATTCGGATCCAGCTTCATTTCATCGTATTTCACGTGGAAAGCGGCAATTTTGTCAAAAATTTCTACAGGTGATTCCCACGGATACCCTTTGAATTGCCAGGCGGGTCCCATCACAAACACGGCGACCACGCGGTCCCAATCACTAGGAGACAGTTTTGATGGATTGTCTACTACACGGTAAGCTACCGCTTGGTTATTTTTTTGACGCTGAATCAACACTTCATTTTCGCGCTTGCAACCCTGGGCTTTTTTTTGCTCCAGAGTCACGAACTTCATATCCTGCAGAATATCCTTCACGTTCAACATTGAAATCAGACAGTTGGTACCTAAAAATGACACAATCTATGAAAATTGTACATTATAATATTATTAGCAATTTATGAAGTGGAAAGTTCGTTAGCAGGGGGCAAAATCGAAAAACGACACTAAAAATAAACCAGCATATAGATCTTGTATAGGATCTAGCCTGAGAGAATGAGAACAGGGTTTAACAATGTAATGTGTGACTTGACTGATATAAAGTTATTTGAATTTGAAAATAAAAATAATTTTGTAAAAAAATAATAGATATCCAACACAGCTGGTTTACAAAGACAGTGGATTTCTGTCTCAGTCAACTCTATATACAAGCTGTTATACAATTTATGTTAAATTCAAATTTTTATAGGAGTACTATTGGCCATGGCTTGAACACTAAAAATGTAGCCCAACAAAATCTTGCTCTTCAAAACCCCAAACACTCAACCTGTCAAAGCCATATTTATTGTGTAGGACCCATAGTTTATATTAATCTACCAGCCAGTCCAGCCAGCATTGAAACTAAACCATATTATAAGTGTAAAAGAGATATTACGGATTGGATATTGAATACTAATTATAAAATTGAATTTATTATTTAATTATTAAGTGATATTTATTCCTCAAGTTTTCTGTAGATTTTGTTAAATATTTAAGTTTCAGTCATACCTCAAAAGTAAACTTACATAGGTTATAGATGCACACACAGCATCCTAGATGCAATAGTGCATGCATTATTAGTAGCGTGAGGATTTACTGTTTTATTTATACAAAAGAATTGTAAACTTTTATTCACTGGTAATAAATAAATACATTTTAAACTTGAAAAAGCCTTTAGCAAAATATGTGGTGCACACTGTAGAATACGTTCCTGTTTAAATAAAATGAGATTTTCTTACCAGCAGGAATAATGATAATAGGTGTTCTAGAAACTCTTTTCTGTGCTCCACCAGACGACGGCCTGGCTTGACTAGTTGGTAACGGTGATTGAGGAGTTGGCTGTTGCACTTGTGCCAGTTGTTGAGGCTGTTGTGGCTTAGTTCTGGCCTGTCCTTCTGTGACCGATTTTAGCGTCATGCCGTGATATGTGCCCATCGTGTCAATTTTAAAACCCTCAGTTTCTTCTTTTTGCCGATTGAATCTCTCCTGATCATATCGGTTGTACACTGCCTGTTGAGCAGGAATGGCACGCTGAACTGCTGGCCTTGGAGTGACTATTGGAGGCACTATTGCCAGAGGCCTTTGTCGACCCTCTTCTCTAGCCTGAATGCTATGCAACATAGCGAGGATATTTTTAGCAAAATTTTTTCCTGTACTTTGTAAAATGGTGGTTCGTGTGCGCCATTGCCTTTCCCTGCTAATTATATCTTTAGTTATATCCACATCTAGGTCTAGAATAGCTCTGATGTCGTATTCTTGACCGATATCATCGATACCTTTAAAAAAAAAATTAATTGATTCACCTATTCACTTGGTAGAAATAAATTGTGTATTACTACCTTTAATTGTATTTCTTTTCTTAGCCAAACGTTTAGCTTTAATTGCAGCAATCTTTTCAACAGACATAGCCTCAGAAAGTGATTTAATATTGTCTACTGTTACGGAGGATTCTTTGGGTGCATCAAGACGAGCAGCATATTTTTCTCTGACTTTTTGTACATGAGTATCCTCAAAACGAGGTTTTTTCGCAATACTTTCTGGGCCATCATATTCAGCAGATTTTTTGACCTACATGCATAACCATTGTATAAACAGAACCATCATAACTTAAAATGTAACTTACCTGTGTGGGTAGTTCTAGAGGGGCACTTTTATCAATTGCTGGACAACTAGCAGTCTCTCCATTTAAATAGGCTAATAATTCTTTTCTGTCTGGACGACGTACTACAGGAATATTTTCAGCAGCAGCCTGTCTTACGTAGACAGGGTGAGTAAGCGACACATTTTTAAGAATAAAAAGCAAGCATTCTAGAGTGTAGTATTCCTTAGCAGTACCATCTTTACCTGACCTGAAAAATACACATTCCATCATTCGCTATTTTAGAGATATGGGACAGACATATCGGTCCTTAATGAATTACATGTTGAGAATACTTACCCATACATAAGGTAATTGGTTTTGACATTTTTCGGCCACGAAAATTCCCCAAATATAATTTGTCCATCCCGTTCAATAATTTCTTTTTTGTTTACGTTGTATTGGCGAAGTAAACTCAACGGGTCTGCCATGTTTGCGTGAGCTGTGAACTATAAACTAAACCTCGTTGACTATTGAAAAATTGGAAAATATAAAGGAAAACAAACAAATATTTTGTCAAGTGTCAAACGTGACTGATGACTGATGTGATGTGAGCGATGTGAGTACTTCAGGTTGTGACGTCACTATCGGTCCATGCACTGGAAGTGACAGCATTGGCAACTCTGGCAAGGCCAAAAGGGTCGCCACTAGAGCTAGGTTTTCAGCAACCCGCGATCGATAGGTGTTTCTTTATGTTGTTCGGGGCAGCACTTCCTGCTTTGGGGCGTTCGTTTGTGAGCGATTTATATGGTTATATCTGCCATAATCTGAAATATACAACTGTACAAGTTTTACAATTAATTCTAAATGTAGATAAATGGTTTTTAATTAATTAGAGGCCCATCCAAACCATTTAATAGTTATTTATGATATAAGTGTTAAAAGTACATCTTTAAAGGCACGCATATCGCATATGAAAGTTTGCAGAATGAGCGAAGCGATTTATGCAATTCACATAAGTGCCTTAAAATTACTTTTAGCACAAATATCATATAATATTTTTTCTACAAACGGCAATAACAAGCAATAACCAGTAACAAATTCGATTTTTAAATGAATAATAAATTGAAAGCATCTTCTTCTTCTTCTTTTCTGGGGTTCTTGGCTTTTGCTCCCAATAGAGCAATTTGCCAGCACATTTGATTGTGTTCAGAAAGCCGTCTGGCTCAGGGCCATGTTCCGAACACAGATTCATTTCAATCTCTTCTATCTTCAATTTTTCTTTATGTGAAAGGCACATTCAGGATTTGTCTAGATCAATCGCTGAAACCGGATATAACTTTTTTCTGTCAAAACAAACAGCGTTTTCACGAGTCACAGACTCTGGCCGCCATTTTGCCAACGTAACCACGCGTGTAAACCTTCTGTTTATCTAGGAATCTAAGCCGGCTTAGTCAAAAAGACGCAAACAAATCCACGGATGGCGATAAATCTCGGTTTTTACTCGCGGAGGTGAGCCAAAATTTGGTCTCTACACGCCTCTAGTGCACCACCCGGTGAAGCTCTTTGAGCTCCTTAAACCAACCGCCCACACTCTGGCGAGGACAAAACGAGACTAAGGGCCGAATTTATAGTCGTTCCTTGACTCTTCCTTGAAGGTCGTGGGTTTAGAATGGACACTTACTACTATTTGACAAGTGAGTCATGGCAACTCTAAACGTTCAAGGCTTTTTTAAGGTCTAAGGAAACCTCAAGGAGCGACTATAAATTCGGCCCTAAATTGAAAGCATCTTTCCTAGATAAAACTAGGTGGTAGACGCTTTTTACTCATTGGGCGTCGACCGGTGAGATACCACCATGCCAGAATTGAGTAGCGCTAAGTGGTATCACCACGTTCCGCTACTGCGCTGGCAGTCCGGTTCCAACAATGAGTAACAGATAGCATGATGGCGCCTCCAGGATCAAAATATTCCGGAGGTAAAATACCCGACCACTCGGATCTCCGGGCGTCGGGTGATCCTGGGGGTCCTTCATGCAAAGATATAAAGAGAAGATCAAAAACTCAACTCAGAATTGATTTTAGCAATATAAGAGGAATAAGTACAAATATGAATTCAGTTCACCAACATCTTGAAGAACAAAGACCTGACATCCTTGTTCTCACTGAAACTAAAATCAGTTCTGCAACACCTATTGTGAACTATCTTTATCCCGGCTATGACCTACACCACCGATTTCGACATAATTTTGGGATCTGTGTGTACATTAAAAATGACCTTTCATGTCATCGAGAGGAGAAGCTAGAACCAGCGAACCTTGATATCATATGGCTAAAATTCACCTCAAAGTCATCGACCAAGTTTATCTGCTGCCTCTACCGACCGCCATCAAACACCGAGTACCAAAACTTTTTCGCGACATTATCCGAACGCTGTGATAGTATACAGTCAAACTATCCACAGGCGGAAATGGTCTTTTTAGGCGATTTCAACGTCCACAATATACCCTGGCTGAAACACCACAACAAAACAGATAACGAAGGTAGAGAAGCAGAAGCTTTTGCCATAAGTTGTGGTCTAACGCAGCTTGTCGATGAACCTACCCGTATCTCAGAAAGGGGCGAATTTGCAGCGCTTTTAGACTTGTTCCTAACCACAAATCCTGACTCGTACACAATTCAAGTAGATGCTCCACTTGGTTCGTCCGATCATAAACTTATAATAACAAAGTGCGAAATGCTCATCCGACCAAGCCAACAACCACTTCCTCGTAAAATGTGGCACTATAAATCGGCAAAATGGAATGACCTAAAACAGTTTTACCTGGATTTTCCATGGCAAGAGGTTTGCTTTAAAACAGCTGATCCCACTATTTGCTGTAATGAAATAACACAAGTAATCTTATCTGGAATGGATGCATATATCCCACATACAACTAAACGTAGAGCTAATGCAAAACCTTGGTTCAACAGCCAGTGTCAAACGGCTGTACAGAAAAAACACAGAGCATATAACCTTTGGAAACGAAAACAAACCGCTCAAAACCACACAGAATTTATAGAAGCCAGAAATAGTTGCAAAATTACTATTGACTCCGCTAAAGAAACATACAATCAAAGAATAAAAAACAGGTTGCTGAATTGTCCAAGTAGTTCTAGGTCCTTTTGGTCTCTTGCAAAAGCTGTTGGATCTAACTTCACCAAGTCATCCATACCACCACTTACAGATAAAAACAATCACTTAGCCACAACATCAGAGGAAAAAGCCAATATGCTGGCCCAAATGTTTTCCTCCAACTCCAACCTAACAGTGCCAAACGGAAAAACTCCACCGTTCATTGAAAGGGTTTCCCATAGTATGCCAGAGGTACCCTTTTGTCACAGAGAAATACGAAAATCCCTTAAAAAGCTAGATACAAACAAAGCAATGGGTCCGGATGGCATTCCCGCAATAGTACTCAAAAATTGCGCCAACGAACTCACCCCAACTTTCGCAAAATTATTCAATTTGTCTTACAGGCAAGGAGTATATCCATCATCATGGAAGTCTGCCGCAGTACAACCCATTCCAAAGAAAGGAAAAAAGACAGATCCGTTAAACTATAGACCAATTGCTTTACTTCCGGTGATATCAAAAGTAATGGAAAGAGTTGTGAACAATCACCTAACCAAGTACTTGGAAAAGTACAGAATTATCAACGATAAGCAATACGGTTTTCGAAAATATAGGTCAACTGGCGATTTACTTACATACGTCACTCACTTATGGCAAAAAGCAATTGAGTTGCGGGGTGAAACAAGAACAATTGCCTTAGATATATCTAAAGCATTCGACAAAGTTTGGCATGAAAATCTGCTCAACAAGCTCAAAGCAATGGGATTATCGCCGAAACTTTGCACTTGGTTTGAAAGTTACCTAAAGGACAGATCCATTTATGTTGCACTGGATGGCCAGAACTCCAACTCTTACCAAATAAATGCTGGTGTGCCACAGGGAGCAATCCTTTCGCCAACTCTTTTTCTGATTTACATAAATGACCTCATAGATAAAACAGTAAATCCACTTTATTGCTTTGCAGACGATGGCAATGTAGTCTCCTCACTCATACCACCCACAGGTCTTTCCGCACGTGAATTCCATCATCTTAGACTAACTCAAATATCGCAGATAAATAACGACCTGGAGATAATAGAGGACTGGGGTAACAAAAACCTTGTACAGTTCAACGCACAGAAAACCCAAGCAGCTCTGTTTTCAAAAAAGAACAGCACCGGTGAGCCAAACATCATGCTATCTGGAAGTGCTGTCACATTACAGAGTCAGTTGAACATCTTGGGGGTTACTGCAGAGACCAACATGTCTTGGCACAATCACGTGGCAGATATTGCTAAAAGGGCGTCCCAAAAGCTGGGGGTGCTATTTCGTACAAGACATCTGTACACACCAAGCCAATTGCTGACACTCTACAAAGCCCAGATTCGACCAACTATGGAGTACTGCTCACATATATGGAGTGCAGCACCCAAACATACCTTAATGCTTTTGAACACCGTGCAAAAACGAGCTATCAAGCTGATCAATGACCCCGCACTTACTCGTAACTTGGATGGTCTCGAACATCGCAGATCTGTGGGCGATTTATCTCTCTTCTACAGGTACTATCACGGAAAATGCTCTGAAGAGTTGGCACGTATGATTCCACCGAGAGTAGCACCTACCAGGCGAACCCGTCAAACAGACGGTAACCATGAATTTACTGTCAAACTAGAGGCACCAAGAACCTCATTATATCAGAATTCATATCTCTGGAGAACAGCATCGCTGTGGAATAAACTCCCTGCGACGGTTTTCCCTGCAGGTTACAACCTGAACCGTTTCAAGACCAACATACACCGACATTTCCGCGCACTTGCCGCTTCTCGAGCGTGATAGGACATTTCCTTGCAAGTGCGCATATCCGTAAAAAAAAAAAAAAAAAAAAAAACTATTGAATTTGACATTTGTCAAAAATCCAAACAACTAGCACCTTGTTTTACAGGTAATTTATCTCTGCAGGTAATGAAATGTCTTGTCAGTTTCTTGAAAGTCTGTCGTGGTCAGTAATGCTGTTTGCTAAAAATGCAAGAAAATAGAGAAGAAAAAGAGGGTTTTGCATCGATCCCTTGAAAAATATAAATAAGGCAAAAATTGCATTTTTCACACGTTTGTAGAAAAAATAGTTCCTTTGCAAGTCCTAAGGTGGGTTTATAGGCCGTTTTACAGCTTGCAAGAAATCTTGAATGCAATTTTTTGCATGCAAAGAATTGCATTCAAGATTTCTTGCACGTCGTTTTACACCTTGCAATTTAACTTGTTTCCTTCTCTAATCTTTACCATACTTTTTTGTTTTTATTGTTGTGTTACCTATTGATGTTTGCATTTTCCAAAAATAAAAAAAGTGGTTATAAGTCGATATAAGAATAGAAGAAGGGAATAGCAGCAGCTTTAAGCATCATAATTGCTGAAAATTCCCCAGCTTGCACGAAAACCTTCAAGAAAAATGGCACCAAACCGATTGCATGCAATGCCATTCAAGTTTCAAGAATCTTGCAGCAACCAATCAGCTGACTCACTTCTGCGCATGCCCTCGTTCAAGTTTCTTGCATATCTATATATATATAAAACACAGTTGTGTTGGTGTTGGAGCACTTATAACTCGAGAACGGCTGGACTGATTTTTATGATTTTTGCTTTATTGGATTTGTCTTTGTCTATCCTACGATAATAAATCGAAAAAATCCAAAAAAAAAAACAAAAAAAAAAAATTATCTATTTCACTTATTTATGAAAAAAACTCACTGGGCCCGCATACGGCGCCATCTCTTATAACCGATACCAAGTTTACCGTCACATTTTCATTGCAAACCATGTGGATTTTATTGTCACACACTTTGCAAAGAGCGCGAACTGGTCTCTCTGTCATTTCTTGACGCTTGACCATTGACGTTCTGTGGCTAAGTTCCGTTTCTCCTCTTAGGCATCCCTTGATAGCCGTGTTCCGTGGCGACTGTTCGGAGTGCTCCGTCCGGCTGGTGTCGAGTGGCAGAGAGCCAGGTT